CTGGCACATTGTTGCCTTGCCTTGGTTTACTTGGTAAAACCCATTGGTTTATCCCCTTGCAGCTGCTCCAAGGGAGGTTCTCGGCAGCAGGGAGCAGAGCCCGGGCTGTGGGCTGAGACCTTCCTCTTTCCCACGTCCCTGTGGTGCAACAAGCAGGAACCGAGCCCCATCCATCAGCCCACAGACAATGGCTTCAAACGCTGTTGGAAGGGCTATGAATCACATTGCACACACACACACACACACACGGGTCACTGCACACTCGAAACAAAGGCAGTGCACCTGGCACAGGTGGCTGTGACCCTGTCTGCTCCAATAGCGCCGCTGGGGTCACCATCCCAGGGGGTGAGCCAGAACCGTGGGGATACGGCACTGCGGGGTGGGCAGTGGGACGGTGGGGGTGGGATTGAGGTCTTTTCCAAGCCGAGTGACTCTGTGAGCTGAGCACAGCGCTCCACACACTGGCTTTGGCTCAGCACCCCCTCCCACTGCTGCTGGGCGGAGATGAGACCTGACCTTCCCCAAACCCAGCGCAGGGCCGTGGTGCAGCTCCCCGCAAAGCAAAGCCGGAGGCAGAGGTTGGGTGGCAGCCGTTGGATGAGTGCTGCTGCCAGCACTGCGGGGTCACACGCTGCTGCTGCTGCTGCTGCTGCTGCTGCTGCTGCTCACCGACAGAACGCATTTTGGGGACGTGGGGATGAGGCGCTCTGACAGGCGGCAGTGCCCCGGCGTGCACGGAGCCGGCAGATCTCCTGCAGCGCTGTCAGCAGCACTCAGGGTGATCTGCTTGGCTCGGGGTTAAAGCTCCCCCTGCGCACGCCTGCAGCAGGAAGGAGTTTGCTCACAGACATGGCAGCAGAAGCAAGGAGCGAGGCATATGGGCCAACGCTGACGTCGTTTTTTTGTTGCGGTGATGCAAAGGGTTTTTGGCTTCTGAAGGACAAGGGGATGTTGAGGCCGTGGTGGCCCAAGGAATTGTGGCTGTATGGTCAGAGGGACTGCGGGTAATGGCAGCGTCACCGGGGGGTGTTTACAGTGTGACATTTCCATGCAGTCTGAAAAAAGAAAGCGCTCGGCTTTCAGGGCAAGAGCAGCACATCTCCCTGCTGCTGGAGGGGGCACGGAGCAGAGCGCTGCGATGGGGCAAGGCACAGTGGGATGGGAGCCTGGAGGTCAGGGGGACACATCCTGCACCTGCATCCTGACCGGGACAGCAAAAACTTCTTTGGGGTGTTAGTGTCAGCCATGGCATCAGCCATACAGCCGCCTCACCTCTGGGCTGCAGCCCCTGCGTGGGGGAGAATCTCAGCCCATGAGGATGCTCAGCTCCAAGATGGAGCCCTGTGCTTCTGGCTAGAGGGATCACATCATGCTCCAGTGCTTTGTGTCCTTCCCCAGTGCCACTGCAGTGGGCAAAGCTAAGCAGAGGTGGCTGCTGGGAGCACTGGGATCATTGGGAGCACTGGCAGCCTGCAGCACATTCCCTGTCTGCACAGAGCATGGGAAGGGGCCAGGCTGCACCCCTGCACACAAGGGACATGGATCCCAGGACACCCAGTGCCACAGCTGTCACCTGCTGATGACCCCATAGCACTGCTGCACAGCCTCACCCGGCATCACCTTAGGAAATGCCGTGTCGGTGGCCCAGAGAGAGGCAAGCTTCTCTCTGCCGCTGCTAATCCTGGCTGGAGCGAGATAAGAGATGCTATAGAAACTCCTCTGAGCCTGAGAACAGCTGTGCTAAATCCCTTTAGTCCTAACAAGAGGTGTTTCCAGGCAGCCCGGCTCCCATTACCCCGCTGGTACATGCTGTCCGCACCTCTTCTGTCCTGCACATGGCTCCCACTGGATCAGCAGGTGCTGTGTGGGGCTGAGCAGGGAGGATGCCCTCGAGCAGTGCCCTCAAAGCAGTTGGTGCCCCCAGCAGTGATGTCCACACCAGGGCATCTCATTCCCATCTCCATTCCCATCCTAACCCATCCTCATACCTTTCCCACATCTACATCCCCATTTCCATCTTGATCCCTGTCCCCACCCAACCCATGCTCATCTCCGTCCCCATCACCATTTTCCATTCTCATCTCCATCCCCATCCCCATCTCCATCCTCATCCCAACCCATCCTCATCCCTGTCCCCACCCCCATCCCCATTCTCATCTCCATCCCTGTCCTTATTCTCATTCCCATTCCCATCTCCATCCCATCTCCAACCCCATCCTCTTCTCAACCCCAGCCCCATAACCTTCCCATCCCCACCCCATAACCTTCCCATCCCCATCCCCACCCCCATCCCCACACAGTACTCGCTCCACTGATGCCTGGCCAGGAACACAGGCAAGCCCCAGCCCTGGTGCCACCCCGCAATTAGAGCCTTTAATTAATCACCAACCCCATCCGGCTGTGGGGTCACCGTACGGCCGAGCCCTCCCCGTCGGGGCAGCACGTACCCAAGAACAGGGAACAGGATCCTCCACAACACGCTGTTCCAGACGGTGACACGGAGCACATATAGCGTCGGTACATCTATGCATCAGGGGCTGCAGAAAATGTATGGAGTTTCAGATTTCTCCTCTCACCTGTTGCTAAAGCAAAGGCCATTCGGATTTAATCTCCTGCTGGGGAACGGGTGGCTTTAACCCCCTCCTGTGTGGCTGTGGGTCGTGCTGGGGGTGCTGGCTGCCTGCTGGGGGCACTGGGAGCACTGGGGGCAATGGGTGCAATGGAAGCACTGGAGTCATTGGGAGAACTGAGGGCAGTGGGGTCACTGGGGGCACTGGGGGTGCAGGGAGCACTGAGGCCACTGGGAACACTGGGGGCAGTGGGGTCACTGGGGGCAGTGGGGGCAATGGGAGCACTGGAGCCATGGCACCACTAAGACTGCAGCTGCAGCGCATCCACTGCCCATTCCCCATCCCTCACCCTGCTGATGCCTGGTCGACCTCAGCCCTTGTACCACCTTGCAATTAGAGCCTTTAATTAATTCCAGCCCCATTCAGATGCCTGATCTTCTCCTGTTTTTGCCACATCTCCAACTCAGGACTCAGTTCCAGAGGGAGAAATAATGCCTCTCACCCCAGACCCCCACCAGACTTCTGCCTGCAGAAATGGGAGCTCAGGATGCTCTCGCTGGGGTTTCTCATTGCCACCCCGCTCCTGTCTCGGTTGGAACAGCAGCACACGCAGCTGCCCTCACGTACACCATGAATTTATCCATGGGCAGAAACAGGAGGCAAAGCAGGCAGTGTGGGGTGGGAGCTGGGTTGTCTGGCAGGTGACAGCCTCCGCTGTCCAAATGCTGCCACGGAGCACATGCTGAAGCCAGAAGAGATGGGCAGCAGAGCAAGCTCAGCATGAAGGCACTGCTAGTTGTTCCCATACCTGACCCATCCGAGCTAAAATGTCACATTTAGGCTGGACACAAAAGGCTGCAATGGCAGCAGAGCTGCTCTCCCCCCTCCCTTGATGCAGGGTCCCCCCGCTCTCCTGCCAGCAGCCATCAGCTAAAGCGTAGAATCGTGCAAAGGGCCTTTGGAAATATTCATTGCTCATCTCTTAACGAGATTACTTCCGAAATCCTCCGTTGCTTTGAGGGAGATTTAGAACCTTTCAGGCTCTTGGTAACCATGGCAGCGCAGATGTGAAAACGCACAGTAGACAGCTGATGTGAGAAGTGATGGGAGATGCAAAGAAGCACGAACAGAATTCCTTCCTGATGAAAAGAAATGTATCTATTTTTGGCTTCAAACTGTTCACAAAGCTGGGCTAAGGTTACGCGTTGTGCCCTGCTGACATACCATCTTTGGTTCAGCTGATGGCACCAAGATGTGGTCACTGTGTCAGCTACATGCACCCTTTGCCCAAAGCTGGCACTCCCCGTGGTTCCATCCCTCCTCCCAGGTTTTGACTCACCGAGCTCCTATGGTGTCTGCTGCACCTCAGCTTCACTGTGGGTGAATCCTGGGTGTCGCCTTTGGGACATTATCTGGGCAGAGCACAGCGTGAGCAAAGTGCTGAGTGCCAGAGAGTCGGGCACCAGGGCCTCCCTTGGGGACCCAACGCTCCCCTTGCCCAGAACAGACTGCTGAGGAGGGCTGCTCACCTCAGTGAAGCTCTTGGCTGTTGCCACAATGGATAGGGTGAGGCATGAAGAGGAGGGAGAGGAGGGAGACCCTTCCTTCTTGTGGAAGGGACTTTCCAAATCAGCAGACAAATTCAGCCAAAACTGAAGGGCAATTTGCAGTGGAAAGAAAATCGATTGCATTAATATTACAAAAGCTAAGTCCAAAGCTAAGGAAAGAACCCACGAACACAAAATCATGCTTGTCCTGCCTTTTCAACAGGTGTCCTCTGGACTTCCATCTTTCAGAAACCAACTTCATGATTTATGACTCTACCTTGAAAAGAAGAAGTGACCACCGAGACCATGCACTCAATCCATGTGCTGATGAACAACCCTCATCCTCCCAACACAGTGAACACAGGATCTTGGAACCACAGCATTGGTTGGATTGGGTTGGGTTGGGTTGGTTGGAAGGGACCTCAATGTCCACCTACTGCCACCCCTGCTGTGGGTTGGCTGCCCCCAGCTCAGGCTGCCCAGGGTCCTCGAGCACCTCGAGGGATGGGGTACAAACACTGAGCACCCTCTCCTCCACTGTTTGCCCAGGACAGCAGCGAGCTTCACAACCATTTCCCAGTGCTGAAGGTCTGTGCCCATCGCCCTGGCACTGCTCCAGCTCTGACCCAGTTTTTCTGTGCCACTGCCTAAGAACGTGGCCCACATCCAAACTTTCTCTCCACAGCTGATGCCAGGAACACGCAGTGCTGCCCATGGTCGCTGTGTTCACAGCTGTGTGCCGTGCCCCAGTGCTCCAGGTACCAGCAGGGACGCGGGTCACAGCGTGGCTGTGGTCAGGGCAGCATTTGCAACGCACCACCCAGCATTGGCTCGCAGAGGTGACAGGGTGCTGTTTGTGGGCAGATTTTGTTTTTCCCTCAGGATAAATATTTTATGAAACCACCACATAACTGACAGTTGGACATGAAGGCTCCGACGTGTGGTTTTCAGCAAGCTCTCACCATTCCCCTCCGGTCAATTATCTCAGCGCAGCACAGAGCGGTTGAGCCCATCCACAGCGATTTGATGTGCAACCGAGCTCCAGGACGCACACAGGGACGAGAAAAGCTACAGATGCCAGCGGGCATCCCCTGCCACGTCTGCCCATGAGCCACCCAAGCGGAGGCTGAGCCCCCATGGCTCCCTGCCCAGCAGCCCATGCCAAGAAGCCAGAGCAGATCTCCCAGCGCAGCGATGCTGCCAGCTCCCGGCGCTGCCGGCAGCGGTGAGAGTTACACACGCATTGCGCAACGCAGCGCGGTGCTCTCCAGGGCCGCAGTAGCTTTCCTGGACTGCGCGGCGCGGATTGGCCCGCAGCACCCTGCTCTCCTCCCTCCCTGCCCTCCCTTTCTTCAGCACCCTAAACACACAGAGATTGGACAGCCGGGTGCCACATGGCAGATTGGAACCAGGATAAAAGATGAACAGCGTCTGCGGGGAGTTTGCAAAGAGGTGGCACCAAACTTTGCAGAACGGGGAGCAGAGACGGACAGACAGACGGACAGCAGAGCTGCAGCCGCCCAGGGACGCTCAAACATTGAGCGGCAGTTGTAGAGCAGCCAGTGCCCTCTGCTCCCAGTCATGTCCCTGGTAGGGAAGGAGAAGAGCCACGTGCGCTTGGTCTTCTTAGGTGCGGCCGGCGTGGGCAAGACGGCCCTGATCCGCCGCTTCCTGCTGGACACCTTCGAGCCCAAGCACCGGCGCACGGTGGAGGAGCTGCACAGCAAGGAGTACGAGGTGAGCGGGGCCACCGTGACGCTGGAGATCCTGGACACCAGCGGCAGTTACTCCTTCCCAGCCATGAGGAAGCTCTCCATCCAGAACAGCGACGCCTTCGCTTTGGTCTATGCCGTCGACAACGCCGAATCCTTTGAGAGCGTCAAGAGTCTGCGGGAGGAGATCCTGGAGGTGAAGGAGGACAAATTCCCTCCCATCGTGGTGGTGGGCAACAAGGCGGAGAGCGGCGGTGAGCGGCAGGTGCCTGCAGAGGATGCGCTGTCACTGGTGGAGCTGGACTGGAACAGCCGCTTCGTGGAGACGTCAGCCAAGGACAACGAAAACGTGCTGGAGGTCTTCAGGGAGCTGCTGCAGCAAGCCCGGCTGCCTGGGCGGCTCGGCCCCGCGCTCTGCAGGAGGAGGGAGACCTTCCCCAACGAGCACGGGCTGCGGCCCCCCATGAACAAAACCAACAGCTGCTCCGTGTGCTGAGCCCAGCGGGATGCAGGTGGGCTGCCGGCCAGGACCCCGCTCCTCCCCACCCTTCCCTCCTCTCCCGGCACTGTGGGGTCAGCGGAGCGCGGGGAGGGAGGCGGATGGGATGGTGCCGCTTTGGTTTGGTTGGGAAGGTGTGGGGAGAGGGCAGGATCCCAAAAAAGGGGGGTGCCCATCTGGGATGCAGAAGGCACTCAGCTGTGCTTGCAAGAAGGGGACAGACAGTAGGACGTGGGCTGCATGCAGCCGAATGCATCTCTGTGGGCACTGTGCCACCAGCACCACTGCGTCCCCTCCGGGTTCTGTGCCCCAATGCCCACACATGCAGTGTCCTGGTGCAGTTTGTGGTTATGATGAGTGTCTGAGGTAGCTGTGTTTGGATAGGTGCGTAGAGCATGTGATAGGGCAGCCTATGCATCTCTTCAGTTTTCTGTTTGTTTTTTTAAGCATACCCAATAAACACGGTGATTCAAAACGGAGCTGGAAAACGTGTGGGTTTCTTCCTAACTGTACAGATAGGTTTGTGCTCAGACCCTTATCGCTGCCTCTGCTTTCCCTGCTCTGGTCTCTGCCCTTATCTCAGTGTCCTGGCACTGCCCTACTCGCAGCCCCAGCAGCATCGCTGCACTCTGTGGGGCCACTGTCCCCATAACCCCCCCAGGACAGCTTTTACCAAGCAGTGAGCAACGGAAAATACAACAGCTCATCCCACATCTGAGTACAGAAATAACAACAGCCCTTAAAAGGCACCATAATAAAAATCATAAACACCGTCATGGGGCTGCTGGTACCTTGCGCTCACACAGCCCTGGCTCCAGCACTGCAAAAAGCACTCGAGCCTTTGCATTCTTACACTCAAATCAAGAGGATGGGAGGCCCCCTGATGGCCCCCTCTACTCATAATGTTAAGTAACCCCAACCCCTTGGCTGTCCCATGCTTGGCACAGCACCCAGCGCCATTGTCCAACCCCAGCTCTGGGCCCCCCTGGGCAGCAGGAAGGGGTCGTGGCCCAGTGCAAGGCTTGGGGTTGTGGTGCTGAGATGCAATCCTGAAGTGTGAGTCGTGTCAATGGGGTTGGGCACAGCCACAGCCCCTGGGAATTGGAGTTTGCAGTGGTGGCCGCGCAGGGTGAGGTTACAGACCAGGATGTCCCACATCTGTTTGGCTCTTTGTTTTAGGAGAAAAATGTGCTTGCAGTGCAATGAGGTGAAGAAGCAAAGCTCATGTTCTTCCCCCAGCAGCAACAAGGGATGTGGATTTTCCTTCCCTACTGCTGAGTGCAGCTGTGGGATCCAGCACAGGGATCCCCGTGTGTTCACTTCATTAAGTGGCTGTGGCTTAAGTTAGATCTGGGCTTTCATAGGCAGTCTGTTACAGAGTCCCTGAGGTTGAGGAAGTCCTCTAAGGTCACCAAATCCACCCCTACTGTGCCTGCTGCCTACCTACCTCCCCCAGTGCCACACCTTATAGGAGTCGTCCTGAACCATGGGGGTGGCACGAAGAATCACAGATGCTCTGGGTTGAAAAGGACCACAATACTCATCCAGCTCCAACCCCCTGCTGTGTGCAGGTCGCCAACCAGCAGCCCAGGCTGCCCAGAGCCACATCCAGCCTGGCCTTGGATGCCTGCAGGGATGGGGCATCCACAGCCTCCTTGGACAACCTGTGCCAGTGCCTCACCACCTTCTGGGTGAAAAACTTCCTCCTAATATCCAACCTAAACCTCCCGTCTCAGTTTAAAACCATTCCCCTTGTCCTATCACCACCCACCCTGGTAAACAGCCGATCCCCCTCCTGTTCACATGCTCCCTTCAAGCACTTCCCTTCAAGAATGAAGGCTGCTCTCCCCATCCCCAAAACATCGCCATGACCCTGAGCATCTCTCCATGGAAACTCTCCGTCCCCACCTGGTCCAGTGACCCCAGAGCATTCCCAGCCCCTTCCATCCTCCCCCGCAGCGCAGCGTGCCGTTCCACATGACGAAGCACATCCCACAGAGATGCTCCGCTCCATTTACAGACACAAACAACCAGGGACCATCACAGCACTGCCTGCGAGAGCTGCACGGCACTGGGAGGGGCTCAGCTGCGGCAGCGCTGCGCCCAATGGGTGCTGCTGTGATGGATGGAGGGACGCAGAGCATGCACTGAAACCGGGGGCACCCAGCCAGAAAGCCAAACAGTGTAAAAGGGAGAAGCAATACGTGCTTGTGGAGGGTGTAATTAGCAGTGTTTGTCTATGGGGCCAATGCTCAGGGTGAGCACCCTGCAAAGGGCCGAGCAGCACTGCGCCTTCCACTCGAAATCAGAGGAAATAATGCCTGCTCTGATTTCTCCTATCCCGGGGCACAGGCAGTGAAACGCAACCATGAGCGCTGCACCCAAATTCACAACACTGCAAACAGAACCAGAACTGCTCCTTTCCACTGCTGTTGGTACACGCCATGTTTTCTCCAATATAAATGTAGATTGAGCAAAGAATGGGAGAGGTGGGACCACAGAGAGGTAAGGGTCTGCTCTGGATCTGACCATTTCCTTCCCCCTGAGCAAAAGGGACAATGGAAGAGTTAACATGCAACTTCCAACATTGGGTAGAGGAGGCGTCGGGCAGAGGGGGGTCTCAGCATCACCAGCAGCACCATGGCAAGCCACCTTTACTAGCAATAGTACTTATGAAAGGCAAAGGAACCTTCTGGCTCATTGTAACATTTTAATAGCCTTGACATCATGGCTGCTCTGGGACCACGTTCCCATCAGTGTACAAGCAACTTGTTTTCAATGCATCAGTCAGTAAAAAACGAGCAGCGGCAGCACCATCATCACTTCCAACCTCCATCGGAGAGAGCGGTGGCAGTGCAGAAGTTAAGAGGGTCAGTTCTGCTGTCTGCAAGGGCTGGATGGGCCGTAATGCAGCTGGGCAGTTTGCAACATGAGCTGCTGACCTGAGGTTGGTGTGTAGCAGACGCCATGCGGGCAGTCAGTCTGTGCTCCCTCAGGAAAGCTACAGTGGATGGGCAGGCAGTGCAGGTGCCTCCCCCAACCCCAAGAGCACAACACGGCTGGAAGAGACCCTGGGGATAAGGGAGAGGGCAGAGGCTGCTCCCAGGGCCATCAGGGTTTTGTGGGTACGCCATCACTGCAAAGCCACCTGTGGGTACAGCAGCCCGTGTCCTATGGGATCTGCACATGGGCACAGGCTCTGCTGTGAGACCTCAGGGCAGAGCACAGCGTCTCCCCCTCGCCAGCACCGTGCAGGGCTGGGCTGCCGTTACCTGGGGCTGCGCGCCATCCACGCTCACGCTTTGCTGTGCATCCAACGTTCAGAACTCCCTTTCCCCGAAGCTGGCTGTGCAGATCATCATCTGCATCATACAGAGCATTCGTTCAGCATCGTACAGACGTACAGCCGGTGCAGCTAACGGACACTTGGCAGCAGCTCATGCACAAGGGCGCTGGGCGACCCACAGCTCATACAGCAATCTGCGGCCTGGGGCCACCACAGCTGCCCACAACCCCTACCTCAAGGTACGTCACGTCCACATTCCTCCAGCTCCAATAACTCTTACCATATACAGATGTCCATATACATTTTTAATTAAAACGCTCCTTCACATACACAATCATATACTGAATTATCAAGAACAATAATAATATATATATATTTGGAGCAGAAGTAGCAAAACAATCTGCTCTGCCAGTGCCACCCACAAACTAGACATGAACTAAAGGGGGGATTGACAGATTTGGAGCACAGAGGGAATGCTCTTGGCCTAAAAATGGGGCAGCCATGCAGCAACAGTGCGATGGAAGGTACAGCCAAAGCAACACGGGAAAAACAGCAGTTTGTGAAAAGGTCCTTTCGTAAAGATTCTTGAGACCTAAGGCCCATCCTCAGCATCAGCAGCAACCTTCATTTCATTAACGGTTGACCTCACCAAAGCAGAAAAAGAGCACGAAGCAGAAAATGTAAGTTATACAAAACACCAACAGGTGGATTTTGGCCAAAAGCTCAATTTCTCTCTGCACACCAGGGAGGATGCTAAGTTTTAAGTGTATCAGATACACAAAAAGGTGTTTTTGCTCAACTGTAGGGATGACAAAAGCTCGCATTAGCTCAAGATGAAAGGGATGCTGAGGTCTGGGCAAAGAGAACTCGAGAAGGCTGACACTGAAAACCTCTTTATAAAAGAGAAGGCAGCTCTGTTCCAAGAGTTTCAACATCATACCCAAAGAGGAAAAAGAAACAGAGGAAAGGGGAAGCAGTTCCAAGTAAGAAACAACTGAGATGATAACTGGGCAGTATTGTGGCAGTGCTGGCCCTGAAATCCAACAGGCTGCAGACTGGAAATTGTAGCTCTGTAACAGAATGCACCCCAAAATCCAGGTCTGAGCTCTTGTGACCACATTCACCTGCCAGCAAATGCACTCCTATGGGCAGCCTGGCTTGCCCACTGGCCAGGGCTTGCTGTGACACACGTGCAATCTCTGGCAATGCAGTTAAAGCCTTGAGGGCAGAAACCCAACTGCAGAGCACTGCCCGGGTGTTTGATGCTCTGCTCCAGCTCTTTGCATTGGTCTCTCTCAATGAAGCACAGTTGCCCTGCACACTCAGCCACTATGGATCTCAGATAAACCCATGCTGTGGGCATCCATCACCAGAATGGCCCCAGAAAGGGAAGAGCTGGCGTTACGGAGGTGGGAGGACATAAGGCTCACCTACGCAAGAGGCCATAGAATCACAGCATCACCAAGGTTGGAAAAGACCTACAAGATGACCCAGCCCACCTGTCACCAACAGCTCTCACTGCCACGTCCCTCAACACAGCGCCTGAATGCTCCTTGAACGCCTGCAAGCTCGGTGACTGCGCCGCCTCCCTGCCAGCCCACCCCCCATCACCACACAGCGGGCTGCCATCCTTCCCACCTGCTGCTATGGGCATCCTTACCTCCCTCACTTCAAAGCCTGAAAGGCCAAACACAAACCCATCGGTGCTCCTGTCTCGGGGCTGCTGGCTCACCTCTTGCAACTCAGCGCCATCAGCAATCTTTATCTAGAGCACCCAGGTCCCAACGTGGGGACGGATGGGCAGAGCTGGAGGAGCCCTCGGCCTCTGAGCCCAAAAGTGCATTCAGAACTCATCACAGCCCTGCTGGAGTCACAGATACAGGTGGGGGGCAGCTCTCCAACAGCCACCACAGCCGCCCCCTGCATCCGCCGGCATGCAACACGCGCTCACTGCACTTACAGGAACCTGCTCCCTCCACGCATCAAACTCTGCTTTTTATTTTCTCCTTTAGCATCCCCTGCACAAAAGAAAAACGCACGTTATTTCAACAGCCAAGGAGGAGGAAAAAAAAAGAAAAAAAAAAAAAAAAACCCAAAAAACCAACTGCGATTTATTTAGTTTTCAAAGAATCTTCGTACTCTTGAAAGCAACTTTCGGTGCATGTTCTTCAACAATCACATTCTATGAGGAGATAACATTGAAAGCCATGTGTTTTGTTGTTTTGTTTCTTAAGTTTTTTTTTGTTTTCCTTTTTTTCTCATTTAATCTCAGTTACAGACATCTTTAACCCGAAAGGAAAGGCCAAAAAAAAAAAAAACAACCAACAAAAACCAAACAACAAAACCAAAAGCCCCCAAATCAAAGCCCCACAGCCCCCCCACCCCCGCCAACAGAAACATTCCTTCCCCGTTTCAAAATACCACGAGTTCTACAACTCAATGCTAAATTCAGCATGGAAAGTCGTACGTCAGCGCGCACAGACACACAGACATCTCTTATATGAGCGTGGACAGAGATATAAAATAGCTGTGCATGGCGCGGGCGCGCGGTGGCAATGAGATGCAATGACTCTGAGGAAAGGTAACAGAGCTAAATACACTACGGAACCTCGAGAACGAAAGAACAAGTCTTGAACCCAGTTTGTGCATAGTTCGTGATCCGCTATAAAACCAGCTTTTGTTAATTTTGCAATCTCGCAGGACCCCTTTTAACATCGGATAAAACCATTCAAAAGCTCAGCTTCCAAAATAAAAATCGAAATAAAAATAAACCAAAAAGAAAGGGAAAGGAAATTGAATGTAATGCACAAGTTTCCTGACCCAAGCAGGCAGGAGCACAACGTCCGTGCCACTCGGGACACGCCAGCCGGATGCCGCTCATTGTCTTTCTTCCTTTCAAAACAATCAAAAACATCTTTTTTTTTTTCTTTTTTTTTTTGTTAAACATAAAGCAATTTGTTTTTGTTTTTGTTTTTAATATATAAAGCACTCTTCAAACATCTATTTCTTTTTTGAGTCCATTATTTGGTAAATATGTAACTGCTACACATTAGATTAGGTATTTTTTTCTTTCTTACTGTCTTTTTTTTTTTTTTTTTAATTTTTTTTTAATTATTTTTTTTTTAATTATTTTTTAATAATATCTTCAGTGCTAGGAGTTGGGTTTTAAAAATACATGAAATGGTGTGGAGTTGCTCCTCGGGAAACCCGGCTTTCCTGAGACATCTTCCACCATGTGCAAGAGAGTGACCACAACGCCTCGCCGCGCCGACGGAGAGGAGGAAAACAACAACAAGAACAGTACACAGCAATGGCCAAAGAAAAGAATCATACAACAACACTGTTCAATCCCAGAGCTCTGAAGTAGCATATCTTCATTCTGAAAATAAGTTTTCTTTACGATGGAAGTCTCTTTTTTTTTTTTAAAGTTCCTTTTTTTTTTTTTAATTTTTTTTTAATTTTTTTTTTATTATTATTATTTTTAAAGTTTGAAGGAGGAAAAAAAAAAAAAAAAAAAAAGAAAAAAGAAAAAAAAAAAAAAGGTCTGTAAACAGGTGAGAGCCGAACGCCGGCTCCTCCAAAAGCAGTCAAACCCCATGTCCAAGTGCTTGTTTCTGTTCCTGCTTGCAAGGGAACCATCCGCTCTTTACAATTATCTATGGCCACAGTTCAAGGAGAGGATTTTTTCTTCAGCTTTAGATCCCAAATGGAACAACGGTGCAATACTCCGGGAATCGTTTCCTTGCATTAGTCCACAATAAAAAGCCGCCCAAGGTAGATATACATATTATTCTCCAGAGATACACACTGTCATTTTTAAAACGCGATAAGAGTCCTTGAGTAAACATTTACACGTGAATTGTCGCCGGCCCCTTCTATCAGTTTCTTTCTTTTTTTTTTTTCTTTTTTTTTTTTCTTTACATTATAGGATGAGCTACAAGAAGGGCTGCGGACACTCAGTGCAAAGTTAGAAGCTAATAACAATTAAACATTTGACCAATGAGCAACTCAAAAGCATATACTGGATAAAAGGAGAACACGCTTTTAGTTCAGCCACGCGCGGGCACTCACTCTCACTCTCACTCACACACTCACACTCACATCTCAAACAAAAACAGAACGTCCGAACCTTGAAAAACAAATCCTTAGAGCCTGTTGTCTCGGTGTACTGATGCCAACCTGGAAGTGTAATCATCAGATGTAGCGAGTGTTCACATTTTGTTATTGGCCTGCTGGATTCAAGTATTTGCATGTTTGATATGTTCTTTTTTTTTCGTTTTGTTTTGTTTTTGTTTTTTTTTTTTTTAAACATTTTCTGTTTTGTCCTTTTTTTTTTTTTTCCTTTTTTTTTTTTTTTCCTTTTTTTTTTTGGAGGGGGGGGGAGAGGTTAACAAAAACGACATGAAAAAGTAATGAAACGAGGGTAATGTGCATAGGCAGATCCATGGGAGTAGTGGACACAGATACCCCAGCCCGCCCCCCTCCCCATTCAACCTGTACAGTCCATAGTTACCATTCAGATTCATCTCTTGTCTGTACCAATGGTAAATATCACACTTCACCCTTTCTGATTATTGGGTCCGCCTCTGGTAATGTGCATAATAGTCACAGGCTCATTTTAAATAGGCTTTCATTTCCCCTTCCCCCCCCCCCCCCGCCCCCCCCCCCCCCAAGCTGATAAAATAACCCTTTCCAGCCCAAATTCTGAAAAGTGCCCTTCATGATAGACCTATTCTAAGCAGCTTTTATAGTTTGTTTTTTAAAATCACCATACAAACATAAAAAGACGACATAAAACAAAAAGCCATGAAAAAAAAAAAATATAACCTGTCGTTAGCATGTGACACTGACCAAAAGGAGCCCATACTGTTGCATTAACAGTTCACAAGGACTTCTGCAGTTTCATAGTCGATATTGGACAGAGGTACTAAAAAAAATAAAAATTCAAAACAATAAAATAAAATAAGGGCTGCCAGTCTGATCGGTTAAAGCTGGATTCTTCATCAAGCCCGGGACTGGAAAGGGTTACAACTTTATATTTCCTTTAGTGCTGATGATTGTGATTTCCACTCGGTTCCTCTCCGCTTCCTAGATGGACTCCCCGCTGAGAAGATCCCCCGGAAGAAGAGTATTCAGAGGCGTGGGGCTCCCGATCACTCGCCCGTCGTCGGCGCTGGGGGGTCCCCAGAGGCTGCTGGAGTACTGGGGCACGCCGCCCCACAGCAGCTCGCTGCTGCCCTTGCCCCCCAGGCAGGGGCTGTTCCAGTGCCCAGCGTCGCCCCTCACCAGCCCGTGGGAGCCGGCTGAGCCCAGGCGCGGCTGCGAGCTGCCGGCGTTGGATTGCCAGCTGGAGGTGGGAGGCAGCGGCTGGCCCTGCGCCAGGAAGCGGTTCACCTCCTCCTCGCCGGCGAACTCGGCCAGGATGGTAGTGTTACCCAGGACACACCTAGGGAGGAGAACAGAAGGCGGGGTGATGTGAGACTCGGAATGGTGGAGTATCGCGGTGGGGACTCGTGAGGATCAACCACTGAATGGACCAGCGCGGGTTTCTGGAAATATCTCAGGTTTCTGTAAATCACCGAATCGCAGAGGTTGGACAGGAGCTCAAGAGATCACTGAGTGCAGCCCCCTGCTTACAGAGGGCTCCCTGCAGTCACACAGGTCAGCATCCAGACGGGCCTTGAAGATCTCCAAAGGAGACTCCGCCACCTCTCTGGGCGACCTGTCCCAGTGCTCCATCACCCCTACCATAAAGAGTACAGAACTGCTTCTGTTCAAGTTGGAGGCCATTGCTCCTTGTCCCGTCGCTACGCCATCTTCTCTCTCCTGTCTCCTATTTAGCTGTCTAACCCAGGCAAACGCATGTGGATGCTCCATCCCTGAAGGTGTGCGAGGCCAGGTTGGATGGGGCCCTGGGCAGCCTGGTCTAATATAAAAAGTGGAGGTTGGTGGCCCTGAATGGGGCAGGGGGTTGGAGCTTGATGACCTCTGAGGTCCCTTCCAACCCAAGCCATTCTATGACTCTATGAAACACAAAGCCAGCTGTGCGGTGCCCACCTCAGTTATCCAACATCCTCCACAGGAGGCAGTCTGCACTCTACTTAAGGAATGATTTTTCACAGAATTTAAAATCCGTTTTGAAGAAGTATTTATTCACTGCTGATCCTCACTTCAAAAACAAAGCTAAGCACATAACTGGGGATGGAGTGAGCAAACCGTCCCATGTCTAATCCAATGGCAGAGATCAATCTGAGCCTGCCCACCCTGTGATGGACCTTCCAGCCCACAGCAGGGGTTGGAACAAGATAATCTTTAAGGCCCCTTCCAATCCAACAATTCTATATTTCTATAATTCTATGGCACCTTTTGGCACCCCAATACCGACTTGCTGGCTTCCAAAAATCCCACTGTATTTTGCCACTGTCACCCTGACAGCAAACCAACTGCACAGACTGCTAAGCCCCTGTCACTCAGAAAGGGCAGGCCTGTCCTTGCCAGCAGGATAACCATAGGTATGCCATAGCCTATTAGAAACACAATTACATGGAAGTCTTCCAAATCACTGATAATATAAGGACCTTACTGTATGTATTTTTAATATAAGCACTCATCTTCAAAATCAGCTATCAATTTTGCCACTGGCATCATTTCTCTTACCTGATGCACACATCTAAACTGATAGAACTAAGATGGGGTGATGTTACTTCTCTGATTACGGAATGCAGCTTCGTAACATTTCATTAAGGAAAAGGTCATCCCTTATCATTTGGTCATGGAGCAAATGATATTTCCTCTACAATCAGTGCTTTTAATCAAACTTGTGCTACAAACTGTTGATAAAGAAAATTCCCTTCTAACTCTAAGCACATAAGTGTTCTTTTGAAACATCAGTCTTTGTATTCTTCCTATTTTTAATCCTCCTTAATGCCACTGATTATATCACTCAAATTCTCCAACTCTTGCATCCTGTATCTATTAGTCCCATACCGCTAAAGAAGCCCGTTTTCTTGCTTAAAAAAGTGGGTTCCTAGATAAAACAGGCTTTGTAACAGAAGAAAAACAGAACAGAAACATACATATGCAGAGACTTTTGGGCCTTGGCTGCTTCTTCCTTGGAACTGTATCGGACCACAGCATTCCCTTGTGTCAGGTTCAGGTGGAATGTTATCAGAGGGCCATGCTGCAAACACAGCGTCCGCAGTGTGGAACCATCAATCTGGTCAGAGAGAAGGGGAAAAGGTTACCTGTGGTTTTGTGATCTCACTTTAAATGCCTGCTGGCTGAACAAGTTTGTAAGCTAAGAGTAAGCAGATGTGAAAGGAAGTTTGTCCTCCGTAAGAAGAATTTCACGAGAGACTTCTCACTTCTGAAGACTTGCCTGAAGTCCAGTGCACAGCACTTCCCCATTCGTGTGATACAAACTATAGCTATCATTAGAAGTCTACCAGTGAGTTAAAGGAAAAACCACACGGCTCATAAATTAAACCAATTTTCCCCAAGATCATTTTGGATGCTTTGTAGCTCACGTCCTTCCTTGTGAATGATACCATGGGGAAGACCGGAGGGTTTGACTGATTCAGAAGAAAGACGAAACCCCACAGGAGATGCAGATTTCACACCTCTGAATCTGCCTTAAGACATCATTCACCCCCAAACTTACACATACAGAGACGGTGCACGCTGAACGGCTAATTGCAGAGCTTAAAGCTCTTACTTCATTTGACAGCACTTTAAAAACCTAACAGACTCCCTACAGAAGACAGGAAATTGTAACATACACAGAATAATTATTTTCCCTTCAAATGAACCAAATCAGCCCAAGTGATAAACCTTATTGTCTCCTGCACACGGCAAGTTGCTTTGCACATCTCACTGCATGCAGTTCCATTCACCTGAGGCGTGAGGTTACGAAGAACCAGCCAGCTGCTTGTCCTCCCTGAGCTGTCAGTACTCCATGCAGAACCTGCAACACAAATTCCACAACAAAACATTTCACCACCATGCAGTAAGCATATACAGCAAGGAAACTGATGGTGAATCACAACAAGCACTGGTTGTGCTCCAATTGAAGATACAAGAGCATAACCAGCAGCAAAATCTGCTCTCCCAGCTTCAGCATGGTGTGTTCTACAGTGAGAAACTGGACAAGCTGGATGTTTATTGGTGGCGTTTGGGAAACTGCAGTACTTGTGTAGCCACATGGGTGAGCAGTGTTCAGAGGGAGCTGTGGCACTAACAGTGCCTGACCACCAGGTGGGGTTTTGGCGAAGAAAATGGGCAAAATAAATGGTAAGAAGAGGGAAGAACATTTAATTTCCAGCTTACTGGAAACAGATCAATAAAATAGTCAGCTAGATATATTAGGTGCAACACTTACTTTTGAAGCTGTCAATATTTCACTAATAAACATGATGTGCATGCTTCTATCGCTAAGATCACTGTTTCTCATTGTATTTAAGCAAGACAATAAAAAAAAGTCTGCACAAAATACTACAGCTCCTTGAGGGCTCTGCAATGCCATCAGGCCCTACACGGCTCACACGTGCCATGCACCACCCATGGGGCATTTCACCACAGTGAGACAGAAAACCAACCAACAATTACAAAAGGAAGCTGCCGTGGTGCTATGAAAGACAGAAGCCAGGAGTACCAGAGGAGTAAGAGCTGGTCCAGCCCAGGGGACTGGCACCCCACGTCGACGATGGCTTGGTGTTGGTTAAGCCCGGAGGTGGTCTGGTAGGAGCAGTAGTGTTTCTGGGTACCTTCCATAGTTCATGGGACAGAGAGGCTTGTGTGTGGGAGATTGGGCCGGAGGACCACGTAGACTTGATGTCTGACAGTTTACCTGCAACAGAAAATAAGAGATTTGTGTGTTTTCAATTAGCATCAATGAATGGTTAAACCAAACAGTAATCAAGCTTCTGCACTGCTGTATTACTCCCACTTTCCAAGAGATGAAACAGCACTCTGTTGCCAACTCACTGCTACAAATCCTGCACACATATAACCTCCTTACACTGGGATTTACATTTTCAAAGAATTTTCTATTTGCTGATTTAACATCACCTATGTGCACAATTCCCCTTTTAAGAATACCTGTCTTGCTTTTCAGTAAAAGATGACGTGACTAAAAAAAAAGAACCCCAAAAACAGAAAATGGGCTTAAGTATCTGAAATCTCATTTCATCAAAATTACAATGAAAGCCTTAAAGATTATCTTTCAAAGGTTTAACAGAACGTAACCACTTTCTTTTTCTGTGCAACTCATTTTATATACTGTAAAACAGCATTTCCATACGTTCTTCTCATATGCTATGAACATTTCAAAGATCAAAGACCAATACAAATTGTGTCTCTGAACATTCAAATAACATACATAATGTGAAAGCCTCCAGGAGAGTGGAGCAGATCACAATCTGTAACTTCTCACTGCTTAGTTTACATCTCCTATCAGTTTTTAAACTACTTCAGTACCATTCCTGTCCCATCAGAGCTTTATAAAGTCATTAAAACAAAGCTAAGAATAAGCAGTCGTGTTCAGCAGTGAGTTGCACAAACCTGACTGAAGATGAAGATGCTGAACCAAAATCCCTTATTCACCTGTGTGGCAGGTAGTTGTAGAAGCTTTTGTGTTAGGAGCCCTAGCACCAATTTACCAGTCACCAAATCACAGCCTCTGTTACATACAATCTCAAAACTGCCTCTGTTTATCATCCAGCTCCATGATTTCATATTGAATCACAGGAATTCAAGTGGAAGAGTAAGCACACTCCCACTTCTTGCGAGTTGTAGCGACAAAAATAATTGAACCATGCTGATGGTGACATTAACAAGGGGGGAAAAATGTGGTGGTTAAGGAGGAAAGTCTGAGTTTTAGAACTCAGAGCAGCTCAGCCTGCAACACAGCACACGATGCATGCACAGGTTAGATGTTGCTATGTCACTAATTCTCATAGGGTTAACACAAAGATTAGATGAGACTGCAAAAAATACAAGTAAACAGAGCAGGAATGCATGGCACATACAAGAAAGCAAGCCATCCCTTTTCCTTTCAGTGAAGCAAAGCATTTCAAACAGAACTTTCCTTGCTTTGCAACCTGCATGATGCCTTGGGAGGCTGCGGCTTCGTTTGCTCAAAGGAGATTCTTCACTAATTAGACATGAAAATGGTAATACCATCCATGCAATGGACCCTACACGGTTTTATAATGGAACAAATAGGATATTTACATAGCCAGTTTTCTATTATTTGCATGGAGAAAAAGCTCAGAATGTATTACTTGTTTATTTCTCCTTAAGGAAGAGAACACATTAAGAGCATTTACTCTTGAGGAAGCTTTCCTCGACAGACAGAGCCCCAACTCCAACCCCCATTCCCAGGCAGAGCATCCTCCTTGAGGTACAACCAAACATTCTCCCGAGCTGAAGATATTTTACAGTTAGCAGCAATTTTGTGAACAAAAAAATCACGTCAGCTCTCACTGAAGGGTGTAGGACCTTGGCAGTAACTCTGTTGCTGGAGAACAGAATGTTTCTCTGCAAAGTTGCAATGGAAATAGATTAAGACACCTGAATGCCAACACAGAGCAATGGCATTTGGCATCAAGTGGAACAAATACATTTTCCTTAGCACACCTCCAGGCATACCATACAGTGCCCCCCATCTGAGCCTCCAGAAATGCTGCCTACCTCGCGCGGGACTACAAAGCGTGCTTCTGCCTATAGCAGCACTACTGTAATACCACAGACAGCACTTTCTAGGGCCTTTTTTTTCTCAGAATGCAGAGAAATGTGAAAGTAGAAAGGCCATTTTCGTACCTGCAATGCTAGGTGCGGATGCAATGCTGCTGAAAGAGCTACTGTAGCCGGAGGCACTAAGCGGCCAGGCACTCGATGAAGGCAGCGTGGCATTCTGAGATGATGTTGGGGATGACCCTGCAGAACCAGCAGAGAAGCAACTAAGAAAGATGGGCATAATGGTGTTTGGTGTGACATAAGCAAATCTATTATGTGCAAATACAAACCATGCAAGGCATTTTCCTTAATCAGCCTGGTCTCTGAAGTCTAGGAATGAAATGTTACAGAAAGCATGAGAAAGGGAAGCAGAAGTCTTTAGTAGAAGAGAAAAGAAAGCTGGCACGGCAGTACACGTATTAGTGCCTGTGCAGAAGATAAATTCTGCATTTCCTTTAAGACACACAACTAAAAAGAAAATCAGCATTAAAATGTTCAGACTCGAGGAACAGGCTCCATTTATGAGGGTGCTTCACTGGCTGACTTGAGCAATGACAACTACAGATGAACATAAATGTACATGATAAACTAACCTCTTACCACGGGTGATTCGTCCTAAATTACTTGAGGTAAGCACTTCTCCTATATTCTAATGCCCACAAACATCTTTAGATTTTTGCAGACTTTCAGTAAAGCAAGGATATATTTTAGCAAACTCTTCTCAAACTAATAACATTAAACAAAATAGCCTGAAACCATCTTGGTAAATCATTTACAATCTGAGCAGCTATCTAAGCATACACACAATTTCCTTCCTGGCAGTAAATGAAAGAAACTGAACATAAAATAAAATATGTTCATTATAAAGACCAGAAGAAGTGCAGATATTCTCTCTAGCCAGCAACAAAATTAAGTATGTATCCCAGGTGACTTATCATTCCTGACATATGCAGGTGCACTGTGAAACTGAAACATCTTTACCTGACTAAGAAAGACAGGAGAGCTCTTTGGAAGAAGACAAAGTGGTCCACTGGGGCACAACAGAGGAAATTAAAGGGCAATCTTGACCCTCACAGATCAACCAAAGTCCAAAGGGCTACGAATACTCAACTGGAACAGAAACCAATGCAACCTCACCTTATCCAGACTCACTGTGCTCCTTGAGATGGACATACAGACATCAGACTCATGCAAAATGACTCCCTGTTAAGACCCTCTCTGGAAATAATCTACTCCCCACACAGACATCCCTGAGGAAGGCTGGGGGTCAAGAAATTACACTACATTCAGAGCCCCATATGCCCAAAGAGCTGAAAGCAGCCCTGGCTGCCCATGACTAAAGCATCATTAAAAACCAGGGCAAAACAACCACCAAACCCAACACTTTGGTGTTGCCTAACTGTTCAGTGTAGCAGCCACAGTCTAACCCTGTGTAGGGATTTCAGCTCTATTCATACAAGCTGTGAACGCCACATCCAAGATGCAGAACTCCAAGAGCCTTTTCCTGGCAGGATGTCATGAAAATCCTCATTTTGTTTGAAGGAGTACCAGCAAGGGCAGAAACAAACACCCAGGTTACGTGAGCATAAAGAAACAAACTCAGCAATTACACTTTGCATTAAAATTATATTATTCATTATTTAGCAAGATAAAAACCAACAGGGTAAGGAAGCATATTATGGACCCCCAGCAGCTACTGCTTTTCATGGGGTTTTGTCTCCCAACAGACTGTTATTCTGCAAAGACCATCTATATTGACCCTCTACAAGTGGAGCAACTATTTCTTCATTCCACAGACAGATTATATACAGACTTATATACTTATATACAGACAGAGGTGATGTACACCTACATTCTGTAAAGACGACCTGCATAAGGAACATCTCAGAGGCAACACAAAATCACTCAAGGCCGTGGAAAACCCTCCTCCCTCGTATTTCACATCCCTTCACTTGAGCTAACACATTCCAGAGCTGGAAACCAGTTTCTGACTGAATTCTGACTTAGGAGCTTTGCAGGTATCACAGACCTAGCTATCCACCATAACCAAATCCTGACAGCTCCTTCTTGACAGCCTGATTATAATACTCCTGTCCATAATAGTGTTTATTTTAATAGAGCATACAGAACTTGCCTATTAAGGCACACTGATCACAATTAAACCGAGCCATCTTTCCTACAATCCCCTTCCAGTACATCCAGCTAGTAAGTTGCATAGTCCCAGTGGTTTATTGTTCTCTTACAGAATACTTCTAGTTCTGTCTGCCAAGACAAAGCGAATGGAAATAGCACTGAGAAATTGTAGTTTACAAGTTAATCCTGTTGGTTTCTTTTTTCCCCTTCTCTTTGTCTTTGATGGTTTTGGGGATAGAACAGCTCTAATTTATGTTCCCGAGCGATCTCCTAACAAAGCCACAATTACATGTGACAGAAGCCTGCTGCCTCCACAGCTGTGGAACTTTTTTATTGTGACTTCTTAAGTGTTTCCTGAAGTGCAGGGGCTTGGTCAGAAGGGAGAGAAGAATCTTGTTCAAAACAAATTGGTAGGAATTATATATGTTATAAAAACTTCCAGTGACCACAAAAGTTTATGTTACATCTTGCAGCCCTTCTCAACATAAAAATATTTGCATTCCCAAGGAAAAGCAGGAACGTCACATTCCCATACAGTGTGTTTGTGGATTGTGAGTGAAAGTTCAGAGCAGAGGCTTCTGTAGATAAGGATTACATGCAAAAAACATCCTACACTCATATTATAGTCAACTTTGTTGGAAAGAAGAAAGTAAATACAGATGTGAAAGTAATGCGTGTGTTTACCTCCACTCTTGAGAAGATAGCGATTAACATCCTGTATCGTGGTGTTTATGGTAGGCCCTGTTGGAACACTTCCAGGAGTAACATCAGGGTCATTTTCAGGATCAATATTCTGTAGTCCTTTCCATGGCACTCCTGGATGAAATTCTGTTCCAAATATAATAAAAACAAGACATAAAGTCACAGTTCTCCCAAGTTTAATTCTTCCTATCAGCAGGCACAGGGATTCAATAAATGCAATGCAGAATGCACTTCATTGACATCAGATGAACACAAACGCTCTGCATTTTGTTACCTGGTGGCCAGTTTATGCTGGAGCCATTGGAGATCTTATCACTATCAGTTTTGGCACGTGACCAGCTGTGAGGAACAGCTACAGGTGGGCTGGCAGGCGACTCACTGTTCTGAATCAGATCGTAGCGGCCATAAGAGTCATCAATGGAGGACTTTCCCGGAGGACCAATGCTCAAACCTCCAGGAATAGCACCTGTAGTGAATGAAATGGAAAGGCTTTGGTTAGGAGTTGGACTAATTTGGGGGACAGGATTTCACCAGTAAGTAATAAAATATAAACACAATAAGCAACAGCCTCTGAAACCTAAGCATTATACCTATGAAGTACACGGCTGGTAAGATCCAGACTCTCAAGCTAGCCAAGGGAACTCGGGTTACTGCCAGAAGGAGAGTAAGTAATTCAAATAATCATAGTGATGGTAAATAGGAATTTGCTGAGGCAGCATGTTACAGAATATCACTGCAGGCACGTCCCCTTCTTGTCACTTTCCAGGTGTTTGCTACTGACAGCACAGCAGAGCAATGCCCTGCTGGTCAAACCAAGGGATAAGGAGAAGTACAGGCAGTTGAAGCAGGGATGGGTTGATGGTCATCACAGAGCTCTGGTCAACAGCTCTGTGTCCAAGTGGAGGCCAGCCACAAGTGGGGACCCGCAGGGAACCATCTTGAGACTGCTGCTCTTCAACATCTCTGTGGGATCAAGTGCACCCTCAGCACTTTGCTGATGACACCAAGCTGAGTGGTGTGGCTGACACAATAGAAAGGAAGAGTTACCACTCAGAGGGACCTGAGCAGGCTTGGAAAGTGGGCATATGAGAACCTAATGAGGTTCAACAAGGCCATGTGCAAAGGTGCTGCTGCACTTGGCTCGGGGCAATCCCAGATGTGCCGACAGTGGGAGAAGAACTAGAAGATCTTTAGGGCCCATTCAAACCTAAGCCATTCCATGTTTCTGTGATTTGAAATATCGACAACTGGGCATAAGCAGTAGAGTATCTACAGTTTATTTTTTGCAAAAGAAGAAACTGCTGTGAAAGAGCAATAATTCACACTGCTTATAATAAAAAACAGGATACGAGAGAGTTAACAGAGCATCGTGTTCTAACATAATACTTGCACATGCTGCAAACACTAATGGCTTGTTTTATTCGAACTCCAAGTTCCCAGCAATAAAATTCCCTGAATGAAAGAACCAGAAAGGTCTGCCTGTAAGAAGTTCTATGTGCAAAAATTTCAACGTGGCTACAGAAATCTTAAAAATGTCTTAAAGGGTGCTCTGTACCACATACCAGCACTCAAAGAAATGAGCAAAATGGGAAAAGATTGATAATTGCAGTGTGACTCAAATCCCAAAAAGCCAAACCGACCTAGGAACTGAACGGGACATACCGTGCTTGCTGGAGTTCTGGTCAAGAGAAGAAGCAGCACTAGACAGATTATCCATTGAGTTGGGATGTGTCCACTGAGGAAGGCGAGACTGGGACTGAGAAGTGTCCTTCACTGACAAACCACCAGTAATGTCCATGTTATTTACATTCATGTTCGGGTTCAGTCCAGCTGAAGGAAAACAGGTCGTTAGACATCCCTGATACACTGGAGGATTTAAGGTCTCTCTGCTTACCAATCCAGCTAAAGGAATTATTAAATATGTCTTTTTAGACATTTATACAGAGATTCAATATTCATGTTTTTAATCTGCTCCCAGAACATTAATTTAGAATAACATCCCTAAGAATTCAGAAAATATTAAAGTATTGCTAAAAAGAAAAAAAACCAAAAAGGTAGGGATATATTTTCTATCTGTTGGTATTTCTACTTGCAGTCTCTCTCCTTGTCCCACAAAAGGCATTCTCAAAGAATGCACTGGAATGCTAAGTTTAAACCAGTGAAGAATTTGCAACATTCCACTGCTGAGCCAAAGTATCCGAATGTCTCACCAGCGTCCTCCTGTGATGTCTGCTGCTCTGTTTTGCTAGCAACGTTTAAAAGATCTTCAAGTAATTGACTCAAAGGTAACACAGAGGGCTGCTACTTGACGGAGCAGGTATTCACATATTCACAGAAGTAGATTGAAAAAAACCAGCCCAATGGTTTTCAGAAGGTATATGTGTAATGTATAAGTAGGGAATCATTTTAATCTGTTTCAGTGACACAGATCTGGACCCTTTTTGATACACAATCCTGCATGCTAGCAGATCTCAGGAAGCTGATACGGTAAGAACCTCTCACACTCTGCAAATTCTTCTGCCTTCTGATGCTCCCTGCTGTAACAGCTCCCCATAGTGGTACTAACCACCTTCTTAACTTCTGAATGGAAGATAAAGCTTGGCAATTCTACCATATACAGCATAAACAGAGGCACAAAGAGATTATTACATTAATTCCCCTACTTCATAAAGTCCATGGCATGCACAAACAGTCATGAAGAACAGGTCTTGGGTTTTTCTGTCACCACCTCAAGGCTCTGAGTACATTTCTTTTGACACAGATCTGTGTATCACCTACCACAAAATGCCCAGTGAAGATTTCACAAACCTCCTGGACAATTTTCTTCCAGTATCCTACTTCCCATGGAGCAAATAAATGATTCTTAATGTTTAAGGATCTCTTTTCATCCAACACAAGTTGATTATTTCTTGCATTAACAACGTGCACATACCACTTCGTGGAAGCTAGCTGTTATATTTTTGAAGATGTCTCTTGAATCATGCCTTTAAATTGGCCAAACAATTGCATTTTAAACTCAGCAGCCATGTTTTCAAAACACCCAATCATCTCCACAACACTGCATTCCATCAAACCCATCTGGATCTGTCTTGAAATACACTGACCAAAGCTGATGATTCACCAGTGCTGATTAGAGTGGAAAGGAGATTTCAAGTGACTGTTCGTAGATAATATTTGTTCATTTTAGATTTTAGTATTAAATTCACATTCAGGGCTATGTACCTAGATAAGTAATTAGCAAATCTTCTGTTCTGCAAAGCATACAGATCACTGGTATCAAAGCCACAATTTTGTGTAGGCATTTCAACAATATTTAATACACATTTATTTTGTATTTATTATACTGTAGAGCTCATGCTGGAGGATAAAATAATGACAAACACTCCCTCTGCCTTCTGCATACGGAACTGCTTTGAGGAGTAACACATACCAAGGGGGTAAGGAGCAAAGGTGTTCGGTGAAGACTGTTGCTCTTTGGTCTGCAGGTCAGGAAGGCCGGGAGCCTGGGGATGGGGTGAAAAGCTATCCATGGCTGATTTGCCTGCAGAGGGGTGCAAAGATAGATGTGGAGGGGGAGGCTGCTGCTTCATAAGCAGGGCCTGGGCCAGCTGGCGCTGGTGCTGCTGGATCTGCTGCTGCATGTTATTGATTGTACGTGCAACCTGGCAACAAAAGAGAACAGATCAGTAACTGCTCAATTCGCAATGACTTAAGATTTCTTATGCCTTTCTCTACCCTTAGATAGATCTCTTTACAAATAAAAATTGACTGAATTAAGTGCTGAAGAGCTTTCCTCCAACAATTGAGTGCTGTGAAGTAAGTAGCTTTATCCCCCCAGCACTCTTCACCTCCCAGTACTCAAACCATGCACTATATTACTGTTCCTAAGGAAGCTCTAACTGGTTTGGTATCATGTTCAATCTCTTTAAGCTTTTCAAGCCAAACTCTGATGATGGAATTGAATTGGCAGTCAAACCTACTTGCTGCTCCTGTTGTCTCATGGGTCCGGAAACATTACGCTGAGCCTGTAACATCTGCTGCTGGATTTGTAAACGTTGGTACGCCTACGGGACGGAAACCAGAGGTCAGAGACTCCAACATATACAAGAACCCTAACAACCTTGCCTGAGCTGATCTGGTATGACACACAGTAGGGAAGAAGCATTGGAGTTTTCTGAAAACACACAACGAAGCAAATGTAACGATCTTGTTAAGAATGTTTTACACAATGCATTTAAGTTCAGCACTGTTTCTCTTTAAATCAAACAGGCTACTCAGTAAGTTCACCAGCAATATGGATTCATTCAACATAGGAACGTGCTTTCCTTCTGAAAAATGTGCCAAACAAAGGACAAAATAAAAGATTCTAAAGTTATCCAAATTGGGTAAATATCAACAGTTATTTTGTATTAGTCTTTTTATTCTGATAGCACACTGCATTTCATCAGCTGTGTGACTTTACTCCAGAAAAATCCCATAACTTTAATGGCATTCACTGGGCAAGGTATAATTTCCCTGAATCATCTGAATTCGAAATCCAAAGGAGTTCTGTACAGGTATTTCCCAGGTAGCTTTGTACTGTCCAACCCACGTCATGGCATGAGATCAGAGCTGTGCTTCTCAAAACTGGGACATATGGTCAGACATGAAATACCAAATCTTGTTACTAAGAGAAGAGTTAGACTAGCACATGACATCAGCAATGAAGGTGGTCTGTCAACCACAATTTTATATATTTAATACAAGCAAACACTAACGAACTGCTGGCACAGAATATAAATTTTAAAGAGACCTATAATACGTGATTAAATAAAACATATATTTGCAAATGTAGCAAAGATACACAACTTTCCAAAAGCAAGCAGTCCTTGCAGCGTGATCAACGTTCATACCATTAATAACAAGAAATGCACCACGCACTTTATTGTTTACTGAGGTAATGAATGCAGTTCTTACATAACTCAGGTGACTGGCACTGCCAAGCTTTCTGTCTTGTTATGCTGTGACACTAATTTCCCAGTTGGTCAATGAGTTGCACATGTTTGACTGTAACAGGCAGATTTAGTGCTGTTTGATAATATACAGTTGCAACAAGACACTTTAGTTCCCCTGATATGCTGTAAAGGATAATTATTCCACAAAGCCTGAGGCAAAAACCATGGTTTTGTTTCTTTTCCAAGGAAATCACTATCTAATTGCTTTAAATATCTGCCATGTCCATTTAAAGATTTAGTTGCTATTCTCCCATTTTACCTTCATGCCTTCCATTCACATTTAGAGCTTACTTGCCAGGTTTTCACACTTACCAGCTGCAGCTGATAGAGCTGGTTCAACATCGTCATATGCTGAGGATTAATTGGCGAGGTTAATAGTGCAGGGTTGAGACCAATGTTTTTTGCTGCAAACTGCAAAAGCTGTGCTTGAACCTAAAGAAGAGCAGTGTATTAAGCACTGTATATTCACTTTTAACACTGGTAGCTGTGTAAGATGTAAGAAAGTGTCACAAGGCATCAGGTGAATAATATTACTATTGTATAATTGTGTAATAAATCATTAAAAAAATTACCAATAGGCTCTAAGTAGGTTTTAGTAACAACACTCACACGTGCATTTACAGAAAGTAAAAGAAAAAAGAGAATGAAGTCCTCAGCTTTCTAGGAACACTGCCTTTTGCAAAAAGGAGCGAGAGAATCTGCATACACAGATAACAGAGCACCCAGGGAAGAACATTTCACCATGTAACGTGCTTAATGGCTGCAGAGCCTCAGGATCACCACAGAGTGTGCAGGGGAGAAAGCACGCAGAATTCCAGGAAAAGGGAGAACATAAGACTGGAAGTTCCATCTCACCTGAGGGGATAGAAACTGAGGCACTTGAGCACGAAGACTAGGCTGGGATGAATTAAGAGGTTGCACTGGCGGTTGCTGCGGCTGTTGCATGGTCCTGGCTTGTGCTGCTCCGCTATTGCCAAACATACCCAGATTGCCACTCGGTATCTGAACGGGACAAGAAAGACATCGGCCCTGAAACGCTTCACTCAACACAGAAGCTCAGAGTTCCTTATCCGTGCAGCCTTTATCCCCAGCGGCTGTGACTGGCACAGATAAAGAATCCAGGACTGTTCTGGGAGAAGCCTTGCTGATAATAAGGCTCAGGATCAGGCAGTGAAAGCACTGCCATACATCCAACAACACCCCAAACCTGCCAGAACTTTGTACAGGTGTCAGAACAAAAGGCAGCTGAAGGTGAAGATCTCTTTTATAAGGATGCATAAGGCTGGAGGTCACAAGATGAAGAGTGAAAAGTACTCACAAAAATATTTGTATTTATGCAAGAAAACAGGATAATGAAGTAATTGAACTCACATTCTAACCATTACGTTATCCAGAAGTTTTTATACATATTCATTTTACAAACCCACTGATAATAGATGTGCTATTAGAGCTGCCTCCTCTTCCGATATGCGTAATGGGTTGTAAGTGCTGAACAAGTACTGCCTTTAGAAAACTAACTTAGAATATGCATAATAGAAGCCACAACAGAACAATATATGTATATATATATATTTTTTTCCTTATTGTAACTAGTACTTCAATTTATATGGCAAAATTAACTTCCACACAAACAAGAGCAGTCCATGACCTCTCCATCTCGTTGTGTTTACGAATCTTCCCCTTCACCTCCTCTCCCTTCTCCTGTCCTTTCAGTTCTATCCAGGGGCCAAAACTTCCCTCCTGCACGATGCTGCATTTGACCAGAGAAAGCTCGGCTCCTTTCCTACCACCTGTCAAAGCTGTGAGCTGCCTTGACATTTATGACATGAATAAATAAAACCGCATCACTTCTCACCCATCTCATCACTGAATAATTACTCCAGCCAGGAGGGATGAATCAGAGCAATGTCTCTGTCTTAAAGTCTGTGACAATTAGCAGTGCCTCAAAAAAGAAACCTCACATCAATCAAGGCTGAGCTACATCAGGGTTTGCTGGTATAAATCCATAACACTACAGCGTCTTCTCAATGCATGCGTGTAATTAGTAGGCTAATTACAACCAAGCAGTTGTTTTATGTCCAATAACATGAAATGTTTACACAGCAGGTAGCTTCTTCACTGGTATTTCAAGTGAACAAAGAGTTTGTGTGCATTTTCAGTTCAAAGCCCCATTTCCAAGGGGAAGGGACAGGTGCAAGCTGCGAGTCTGAGCGCTGCAACTCAAGCTGTGACCTCTCTGAACAGCCTTACCTGTCGAGAAGAATTCAAGTTTTGCATGCCCAGCCCTGAGGCAATCCCGCCCAGGGTCTGATTAGGGAGTGCACTGTTTGAAAGGGGGAGCTTCAGGCTTGGTGAAGGCAAAAATGGTGAAGTAGTGGGCTCTTCCACTAGGCCGCCATCCTGATTGGAGAAAGAAAGGGTGAGCTGCGTGCAGTGCCCAGGAGTGAGCAGCACACAGAACAGTTGCCCATGAGAATATAAAGGGGCGTGGATGAGTAAAAAAAAACAAAAATGGGTGTATATTAAAAAAAAAAAAAAAAGAGGTATGAATGATGGGAATGAAAAGCATGGGGTGAAGGAAGAAGAGAAAGAGAAACAGCATTAAGGTACTGTTTTTCTTTACTTTGTCGCACTTAATCCACAAATGCACAACCACCCTCTTCCACCTCCCAGCAGGAAAGGAGGCTCGAGCCATCCAGAGCCCCAGGCAGCCCCTCGCTAGCGCTGGGATGGGGAGAGACCTCACAGGATTTGGGGAGGTCTGCATTAAAAGCAGAGCACAGACAGGCAGTGCAATGCTCCTGCTAACCCTGATAGGCTCAGTACGTGAATCTGACACCAGCCTGCATTTGGTTCCACATCACAGCTCTGCTTGTAAGAAAACATTTTTGCATTAATCCCCTTTCCTAACTCAGACACATGAGCCTCTTTTAATATTCTCAGAGCGGTGACTTATTAATATCCACTCTGAAACTCTACCGCACCCACAGAGCACAGATACTTAAAACCAATGCTGACAATGTTGTCTGTGTGGCCGTGCTGGGAAAGCCATGAAGGCACTGCCCAAACCCCCTGGAGGAGGCACATAAGGAGCCCCTTTCCTAACGGGGCTGCAGGGAACCAGGGCTGAACACGGGTGTGATGCACATAAAGCAGCCCCCGTGGGGGGCAGACAGCACAGCAGAAAATACAGCACATCCCATCACCCCCAGTCTAGCGGGTAGCACTGTGGGCAGCACTGTGGTGGGGCACTCAGCTCTCTCTCATGCTGGGCTTTGATGTGTGGGCAGCCTGCAGCAGGCACCATCAAACAGTGCTGGTGTACAAAGCACGGCTCCAAAAGCAGGCAGAGGGCAAAGCCCTTTCATTTGCAGTGTACCAGACTGGTGTTTTTCAAGCAATGTTTTCAGTGCAAAGAAAGGCCTTTGTACAGGTGGGGAGTTAGGTTAGATCAGTCGTTAAATCCAATCCTCCTTTGTTAGCAAAGCAGCCCTGTCCTCATAGCAGATACCCAAACAAACGACCTCATGCAGCACAGATCTCAGGAAATTTCACTTCCTAAGATAATCTTGAGAAATGCATTTTCAACAGTTCTCCTTTGATGCAAAGAAAGTTTCTCTGCTATCAGGCACACTGACACTTGACATGCTATCTGACTGTCCTAGGGGGACACTGATATTTTCTAATGATATCCCCAAGGCCTTTCAGCTCAAGATATTTTACATTCTACTGGACATCAGTCACACTCTACAAACAACTGCAGCCTGCATGACAGTAACAGGTTCAAGGATTTCTGCTCTGATCACAGACATGTGTTTCCAATTCTGCCCCTCTCTCTTTAAAGTGAAAACCTTTTCAAGCTCTGTGTGCACTCTCTTCCAGGTGCCATTGTTTCCTTTGTGAACAGAACTACTGACCAAAAGAGACCAATGCAATCCCTTCCCATGCCCCAGATTACTCAAATATTGTCCCACTGATATTCTTTTTCCTCCTTCTGGAATGAGGCACTGCTCGGGGAGGTGGAGAACAGCCATGCTAGAGATTTGGGCATCTGATTTCTGCTCTGTTCTGCTCTAGACCACCGTCACCTTGAGCGTGTTCTCTGGCTGACCTACAGCTCGTGTCTTTGGTTTTGTTTCTAACACACTGTTTGCATTCACTCGGGTTTGATTTTCTGAATTTAACTTAATGCAAGAGGCAGACTGCTGCACAACTCTGTGCCCTACAGCTGGGGCCGAAATCAATTCATTTCACATCAAGTATTCAGCCACTCTCAATCCAGACCAGGTGATACCTTCACTGCATTTAGCTTCATGGAAAGGACTTGACACAGCTGCACAATGCTACCAGAGGCAGTATTTCCTTCTACATTTATTGAACAAAATGCACCATCCTTATGCCCAACAAAACACTACTTTCAGGACACTGGAAGGTCTCTCACAACAGTTCCATGTACTAGATATGACAGAATGCAAGCACTGTTAAGACATTTTGGTGCTACGAGCCATGGACAATTTAGCAGAGGATTCCTGGGTCCCTGGGCAGTAATGTGCCTACAATAACTGTCACCTCATGAATGAAGGACCTCAAAAAGCAGTCCTGTGTAAGGATGAAGTACCTCATCTGTTATCCCAAAGGCAAAAAAACTGACTTTTGGGAACGGCAAGCGGGACCAGAATGTGAGGAACTGGCTGGAAAAAAATCCAACACTATATTTGTATTAGAAACAAGAGAACAGTGCAGGCAAGTAGAGTGTTTGTGGAAAACCATGATGGCAGTGAACAACCACCAAGACTTTTACACCTCAACAGCAGAGAATAAAAGCAGACTGAAGACCAAAACAACAGTGGAAGAGGGGCTTAATTTTTAAGGAGAGGATTTCCTACATGCTCAAGAATTTGGGAGGATATTTGCAAGCAGCATCAGGCCAAGGAAGACGGGATTTTATGCTGGTGATATGTGGGAAAGCATAAAAAAAAAAAAGAAGGTAGAGGATCAAAGTAAATGACAAAATAAAACACACCAAACTTGAGTTCTAGTGCTCCAGAGCAGTACCTGAGCCCAGACAGTTTCAGAAAAGAGCCAATGAAACACACGAGGCTCATTTCTGCTGTCCTCCAGGATGCTGCCAGGAACACCTTACATGCATTTCTTACAAATCTGATGTCTCCAGAAGACATCACACAACATCTTCAAGCAAACCTGATGCCTAAGCACAGCATGCTTGCCACCAAGTATAAGGTAATACGGTTGAGATCACGTATCGGGGTACTGCTAGGCTGGATGTTTGTTTTCTCAAAGCCACTGGATTTTCTCCTTTCTCTTTTTATGGTGTTACAGAGCAAGATAAGATAATATCCTGAAAAAGCAATGCAATTAACAAAGCACTGTGTGCCAAAGACTGACACAGAATAAAGAATACATGAGTTAAGTGCTGACACAATCAGCTGACTGAGGCAGCAGTGAGCACAGTAACCTAGCTTACAACTTCCTGAAGAAGAACCCTGCATAACTCATGGAAGACTAAAGCTGAGGAAAAGGATAAGGGCAAGACAATAGGTAAAATGAGGAATGTCAGCCAGATTGCTTTGTGCAGCTGTGGCACCAACCACGGAAACGATGACCTGATCAGAAAGAGAGGCAGCTCCAGGTTTGTGCTCTGAAGCATTAACCTGAAGGACAAAAAGGCTCTGGAGAAGAGCTACTCCAATGTCATGAGATGTAAATACAGAGAGAATATCATAGGGAAAAAAATCTGTTCTTAGTGAAGAAGCCGTTATTTGTTTAATTCACTTAGCAAGTTGCTCAACACTAACAAATACAGTTTGGGATTATTTCCTCTGTCATATTGAAGTACTGTGACAGATTATGCCTAGACTGACAGATTTTACTTGCTGTATGAATACTAATCATTCTAGTACTCCCTTCTCAATACCTGTGTTTAACATATGTTTCCATAATTATGTGTTACACTGCACATAACACACCCCTCCCTTCTGCAATAAATTTACTGCACAAGACATTGCTATTCAAGAGAAGAAAAGGCTAGCTGGCATGCATGCACTAATTCTGTGACCTCCATGATGAGAGGGATCTTTCAATTAACACATTCATTGAGGCTGGACACAAACAAATGGTTATTGTTAAGGATGAATTTCAAGTGGCAGGAAGAGAAGAAGAGCCAGGTAAAGCCTGATGTTAGGGAGCAAGGCTATGATGGACACACAGTGATGCCTAGTGTCCTAGTGCACTGCTGTGCTGATTTTCTTAATACAGTACATGGGATCTGTCACAGCCCACATCTTAACTTCAACCATAATGCTATACTTAAGACTGTAAGAAGGGTGGACAATTGGAAAGAATGATTATTCCTGGTCAATAAAGTTTTTAATAGAGTCTGTTAACAAGAGTAGGTATCATTCCTGTCTCACATCCTCTAAATAGCTTATGTAAAATGAGCTGCTTTCAGCACAGCTCGTAAAAAAGGCACTGCTTTCTGCAACTGAAAAATAAAATAATATAAACTTCTACAGACATTTCAAATAACTCATGAAATAAAGACTGGCAGCACAGAATGCTCACTCCTGATGAACAGTTTTGGGTGGGAGGTGTTTTGGTGAGTTATTCGCAGGGCATTGCGTCAGGCTGTCACTCCCATTTCCTACTGAAGATCTGGCTGCACTTTTCCCTACATTCTGTTCTTTAGGCACTTTGAATCTTGGACACCACTAACGCCTGAACCTCCTCATTCATTGCACAGTGCTGGAAAATTTGTATGTGACCACAGGAAAGGAAGCTCATCTGAGAAGCTGTTTACGACTGTCTGCTCTTTGACTTAAAAATACCTCAGCTCCTCATTGCTGACTTCTCTAAAACCCTGCAGCATTCAGTAGCACTCAATGGTATTTCTCCAGTGTACAGCCTTAACCTGTGTACCACACTCACACTTCTGAACCTACCTTGTCAAGGAAGGTGGGGCGGTCCATGGAAGACTCTTTGGAGATTGGTGGTGGGCGGCAGCCAAGGGGTTTGGTGACCATTCCATTATAGTCGGTCACTCCCATTCCACGCTTGTCCATTTCCACCTTCTTTTCCAGCAGAGCACCTTCAGAGAAAAGGAAAACGGATTCAAGAAGGTGGCACAAAGGCAGTGAATTTGCCAGCATCAGTGCTTCCTTTTACAAAAGCAAAAACCCTCAGTAAAAACACGTCATCGAGCTGAACTGGACAAGATCAAATTCTCAGAATCATGAATTTGGGGTATTTTTTTTCATTAAAGGGAAAAAAAAAATCAGTTGCAGAGACACTTACTCATGGCCTGATCGAGATTCATATTGTTGCTCTTCAAGGCCTCTTCCGCTGGTTCTCTCTGTCAAAAATACAGGTCACGTTAAGGCAAGAACTCATCGTGCTTATAAGATTTCAAAGAAAACTGAGAAAACACATCATAGTTCTGGATTTAGTATTTACTCAGTGACACAAACGTCTGCATGTATTTTTCTTCTGCTTTGACCAATTCTCACAGCAGTTCAGTTTGTTAGCTGTGTACCATGAAGCCATGGTCTTCTGTTATTCCAATTTCTTCCTGTTTTCTATGGTTAACTTCAACATTACTACTCTGTGCCCATCCTTAAAAATACAGCTTTACTCTCGTTTCATCTATTTAATAAGGAATTATCACCAAATTTCAAAGTAACACCATAAAACTCTCGGTTTCCTAAGTTCTATAAATATCATCAAGCAATCTCAGAGAGCACTCTGCTGGCTTATGGCAGATTCCTGAAATTGAAGTAAATTTCTAATTGTGTAACAGAACTGCTTCCCAGTCTGAACACGGCATCATCTTTCTGTAGTTACAGTTTGAAACACTGAAAAACAAGGAGTTCAAGCTCCCCATCCCTGCAGGCATTCAAGGCCAGGCTGGATGTGGCTCTGGGCAGCCTGGGCTGCTGGTTGGTGACCCTGCACACAGCAGGGGGTTGAAAGCAGATGATCATTGTGCTCCTTTTCAAACCAGGCCATTCCATGACTCTACCATTCTAACAACAGCTCAGCTCCGTGCTGAGCTGTGAGCACTACTCACAGGGAAGCCCATATCTGTGAGCTGTTTTATCAGGCGGTTCATGATCCAGGCCTCATCTTGCTTGCTAGATGTCTTCATGCCCTTGGTAAACAAGCAGAAGATTCCATTAACGGTTGGCTTCCCATACCCGTACCAATGAGATGTAAATCAAGTACACAAGCAGTTTTTCTTGTTAATAATGCATACTATTGCAAGATATATCAGTACATTAATTTAAGAAGTATTCAGAACCCTACAATCATTGCAACTTTTTTTTTCCCTTCCCCTACAAATTATCCAAACTCTACAATCATCATCAAACTCCACCTCTGTTCAACAGGTGCTCCATGTGCCACTTCCTATTTGACTGGATGACCACTGAATTAAAGCCACCTTTGAATTTAAGTATTTCATGGTAATCTTTGGCAGAGAACCACAATGAAATAAAAAATCTGACAAGCTTGACTAAATCATTACGCTGATCACATCTGTGTTGGGTAATGGAGTAGTAAGCAGACTGATTAAATGCATCCCCCATTTCTGCAAGTTCCAGGCTTCCCTTGTCCTGGAATGAGGTACACACAACAGAAGACATTCTAATGTAACTGGGTATGGCCTTGCTTAAGCGTGCCATCAGTACAGAACTGCTTCCTTCTCATACCTATACAAACCTTAAAGTTATCTACTTGTTTCTCCATACAGAAAATAGTTATTTTTTGCTGGACTACTCCATCACAAACTACTGTTTGTTTTCTAGCACCACACAAAGTGGCTGAAGGCCTCATAACAGTTTTCCCATTGGCACATCACCATTTCTTCAGACTTGCCCTGGAAACAAGGTAAGCTGTACTCCAATATGGAAGCAGTGAGCTGCGTTGGTGTTCTGGTGCAGGGGTGTATTTATTGCCAGATGTAATGCAAGAGAACATTTCTAACAACGAATTCCAGAAATGCTGCACTTCTACTCATTCCCAGAGACCATCTTTATTTTTTCTCACCTTTTGAAGTCCTTTCTTTGGGGCATTCCCCCAGGAATTACAGGAGGAGCTGCTTTCTTGTGAAGCAGTATTATTCCACATATCTCCTTCTTCATCTTCCCACTGACTAGTACTGAGATTCACTTCATCCCCACCACTGCCCCAGCCTTCTTGCATAGATTTTGAAGCTGGAGGGAAAGAGGGAGAAAAAAATCAGACTCAATTTTATGCAAATTTTACAGAAATAGACTTTTATACCATAGCCTACATGCTAACGTTTAAGTATTTTCAAGAGATATAGAGGTTCATCAAATAGCTTAATTGGCATTAAATGATAAGGACTCCTCCTTTGAAGCTAACAAAAAAGAGAAGTGCTCTAAATAGAGCTACAGAAGGAAAAAGTCCAGCAATGGCAAATCTTCCTTTCTCCTAAGCAAGAGAGATCTGCGACCCTTCCCGCCTCCTAGGAACAAGGAGCCAGAAGTATGACCACACACTTGTGTACAATTTTGCTTTCACTGAATCTCACAATTTCAGCCACCACATTCTTCCACTGAACAAAACCAAACTGCAAGGTTACTAATGGCCAGAAATGCATTCACATCATAGAAGAATGAGGTCTGAAAGGAGCAAGCAGGCTGCAAGGAACACTGTACAGTAAATGACAAGGCTGCGTCAGCTCAATCTGTTTTATTGTTTCTTCTGCTTAAAGTAGGGATTACTCATTCTAAGACCTCTCGTTCTTCTTTTCAGGTTTTCTGGGACTTTTAACTGTCTCTCACTGCAGCATTTAGCAGCAGTAAGACTTAAAGATTACCACAACCTGAACGTTAGTTTAAAGCCAGACCTGCAGCCTTCAGGGCAGTTGGAGACTTAAGATTTTTATCAAATAACTTTTGTTAGAAATCAAGAACCAGAAAGCAGCTCATGGTGCTCCTGAGCCTGTGAGCAGCCATAACAGCTGAAGCACATATCCAGTCTTTCAGTTTAATGGATGAGTAACATCATGGCCAGTCACTTTCATGTGCTTCTTCCCTTACCAAAGTTGATCCTATCTCGACTGAGCTCAGTTTCTTCTCTCCCTAGTACAGGTTTCCTTCAGTCCTGCAGTTTCCTTTTTTCCTATGCCTGTTATTTACACTGTACTGTCCTTAAAGAATGCATAAAATACCCTTAAGGAACGCACTTAAATTTATTGGACGAGTTTGTTAAATTCATGCTTTTAAATGAATCTGGTATCTGGTATCAGAATCCGATATCAGAATGTTTCGAGAGACCTACAAGAGTTCCGAAAATGAAATTAGGAAATTCCGAATTAAACACACAAGAGAACGAGAAGCCCTGCCTGCCGATGCCGGCAGCAGCAAACACCTTTGCCTTCTTTTATCCCCAGCCCCTGATGCCCACCACGTACCTGGTTTGCACAGTGCCGGGGCAGCAGCTGGAGCGGCTGTTCTGCCGTAGGTCCCCGCTGGCTCTGCAGGGCTCTCTCCCCACCCCGTCCCACTGCTGGGGGGTTTCCCCCACGCCGACGTGCCGTTATCGACTGCAGCAGAAGGGGAGGATGGCTCTCCCCAAGAAGCTTCGCTCTTCGTGTGGACGTTAGGCATTTCTCCCCAGCCTGCTGGAACGAGGCAAGGAGGAAAAGTGATGAGGTTTCTTTTGTCAGTCATTACAAAGTCGGACATTTTATTCGAGCCTTTAACTGGAAAGAGCATGAAACTAATAGGGTAACTACAACTAGTTACTCTAACTATAATTAGTAACTCTCCTATGAAGAAAGGCTGAGGGAACTGGGATTGTTTAGCTTGGAAAAGAGAAGGCTCCGGGGAGACCTCATTGTGGCCTTCTAATACTTGAATAAATAGGGGGAACGGCTGTTTACCAGGGTGGGTGGTGATAGGACAAGGGGGAATGGTTTTAAACTGAGACAGGGGAGGTTTAGGTTGGATATTAGGAGGAAGTTTTTCACACAGGATGGTGACGCACTGGCACAGGTTGCCCAAGGAGGCTGTGGATGCCCCATCCCTGCAGGCATTCAAGGCCAGGCTGGATGTGGCTCTGGGCAGCCTGGGCTGCTGGTTGGTGACCCTGCACAAAGCAGGGGGTTGGAGCTGGATGAGCACTGTTGGTCCTTTTCAACCCAGGCCATTCTATGAGTCTATAATAAAATAGATTTTAAAATCTCCTTGGTTTAGTCTCGAAAGTCCCTTCTCTTTTCTCACACTTGTATGCAAGACATTATTTACTTGCTAACACTTTCAACAGAGATTACATATGTAGATAACATTCCCTAAAGCTCTTATTACAGCTTGTGGCTGACTGTGTTCACTGCCAGCCCCTTCTCTGAGGCTCTGTGCAATAATCAATTTTATATATATATATACATATATATACATATATATATATATTTTTTTTTTTTTTTTTTAAATATTTTTATTTTTATTTTTTTACAGCAGAACTAGACAAGACTGCAATTAGAATGAGGACTGGCAGGTAGCAGCCCCTGCCTTCCTGCAGAGTATTACTTTAACTCATTAAAGCCACTATAAAGAAGCTACCATATACACACAAGCTGCTATAAAGAAGCTGCCTCAGTCTGCCTTGAACGTAATGCGCTTAAATCCATGTGCCACTGAGCTTAGTGCTGGAGCTGTGTGTGCCAGGAACTGCTTCTGCAACCTACAGAGTGACACACAGCAATGCAACAGAATTGGAATTGGAATTTAATGCGTCCCTTACCTCTTACAAAAAGGGGTTTTTTGTCCCAACGTTTTGTGTTCTGTTTTTTTTTAACCTTTCTTTTGTTGCACTCGGGAGTTCAGTGGTTTTGTTGAACAGCAGCACTTGAGAAAAGCGTTTTTGGAGCTGAATGTTATTTAAGTGCGTGTGTTTTATTCCAATGAATGAAGGCCCTGCCCATCTGTAGCTTCTGGCTCACAAAATGGAAACAGGACTCGTTAAGAAGGAAACACTTCAGCTCCCAAAATCAGCCTTAAACCAGAACTCATGTATGAGAAAGGCAAAGTGTAATAAGCTGTAGACTGTAAATCCCAAAGAATTGGTCCTGCTGCTGCTCTTTAATCTACTGAATTTCGAGTGCAGACCATGGCCATGCAATGTCCAAGTTAAGTTCTTTAAATGCACTGAGAAGTAATATGGGATTACAAACACCGAGGGAGCCAGGCTTCATTGAAAGATCATGCTTGAAGGCACCCAACACCAAACAAAATGTATTAAATGGAAGTTTTCAGTGTCACACCAAATCAAGTTCAGTGCAGGAACTAAACAAATACAAGCTGAAGGATGCTGAGTGCTGCAAAGACGTGCCAATTCCAGCTCCATTTTCCCCTCTGAGGTAAGGACCCCTCTGCTCACATCACTGTCTGCGTTGCCTTTGTATGGCTCTGCTTTACAAACTTAACAAGGAAGGTAAGGTTACATATTCAAGCAGATGCTAAATCCTGAAGTGGAAAGAAGATACTTGCTTTGCAGCCTCCAGAAGAGTGATTTGTTAATGAGGTTTTTCCTGGATTTTTACAACATCTAGCATGAGTTGTATCTGAAACAGACATAAGTTCAAAGAGCCTGCGGTCCCAGTGCAGCAGATCCCAAATGTTATTGCAGAGGGCTGAAGCAACACACAAAGCTACTTCTAAGCTCCCTTACACAGCCCTAGGGAAGCAAAACACCTTCGTAACTGTCTCAAATCTGAGCTAGTCTTCCACTTTCAAAAATTCTTACTATTTTCCTCTCTGAAAACAACACACATGTAGGCTTTTCTAAGAAAAAGCCCCATGCTTTTAAAACAAAAAATAAAACTACAAACAAATGTCTCTGCATGAATGCTGTTTTGCAACAGCATAACCTCTGCTGAAGGGCTCCTTGGCAAGAAAGTGAAGCATTAATACTGCACTTTTTCAACTGTTAGAATTGCAAGAAACAAAGAGATCACAGTGAGTAATGAATACGGCCACATTGGCAGAGTTTTGTTTTATAGAAATAAAAACATAATTAACATTGGGCCTCAGCCAGCAGGAAATCCTCAAGGGAAAGTGAAATGTTAACTGAGTTATGGCAGGATGCAGTTGTTTTCCCTCAAAATAACCCTATAGCCATTTAGATGATAGAAACTGTTCTCCTTGAAGTCGTTTGGTCTGTGATACATAGCAGAGCGTATGACTACAGTGAGGCAAACTGAAGTATGAGAGCCTTATGCAGATGGAGATGGAGGAGATTTAGGAGAAAAAAAGATAGTGTATCATTAGTCTCACGCAGCGAATAAACAAGCTGCAGCACTGTACACCCATGTGTGCAGCCACAGGAAGGTTCCTGCACCCTTTAACCTCAGGTCCCATCTCCTGCTAGCTTCATGCAGTGGGGCTCAGTGCCTTCTTGCATGGCTCGGCACTGGGGAAGCTCTTAGTTGGCTCTCAGCAAAGTCATGGCTGCAAGAAAGCAGAGGTCAGGTTTCTCAGCAACACCTGGCCATCTCCCAGAACAGAACTGTCAGGGAGCTGAGTACCCACAACTGGATTTTAGGTTCTAAATGAGCGCCCTGAAGGAGTGGATGGAAGTTCAAAGGATGATGCACTGCTCCCATCTTTTGCTCCATGGAAATCACAGACTGTAAGTGGCACTGGAGCTGCTCCCAGCAGAACAGCAGGAGATTGCAGAAGCAGCAGAAGAATTCAGACTTCATTTAGATTTTTCCAAAGTTGAGCTGCTCGTTCTCTAGGCTCTGATTTTCAACATGAAATCTCTATAGCAAAGCCTGTGTTATCTTCGACTGGCTTCCTTGCTCAGATGGAGGCCTGGCTGCTGGAATCCTGTCAGTCTGCCTACCCAGTATCTCCCCTCTCACAGGGGAGCATCCAGCCCTTCCTAGCATTTGCAGGAAAGATCTCTCACTGCTTGGGATCCAAAAATCTCTTTCTCACTCATCCCTGTTTTGTCACTTTGTCTTTCTAAACAACCCACCGCTGGCTTGGGAGGGAGCTCCTACAACCAGAAAGGAGTACATCTATCACATTTATCTATCCTGGTTTTTGTGTGCATTTATCTACAACACAAAAAGAAACTTCTCTCAGAGCACAATGCGTTTCATGAAGTGAGTACCAACATCTGCTTCCCATCAACAGCTTTTAAGCTCTGCAAAGAATGTTGAGAATTTCTGAGGATGGGTGACAACTCGAATAACAAGGCTGTAACTTGGCCTGCATTTCTGAGCTAACACAGCATAAACTTCTATTTCAAAAGGAACTGCTACTCTTTTATGAATCATTACCTAGTTCTGTACAGCAAAATCACGAGCCACCTCTTGGTTGTCAGCGTGTGACTGCGCCATCCTACAGCTACACAATGGGCTTCCCTACTGAGACAGGAACAGAACGGGGATTCCTTATTCCCTGAGCCATTCCCTGCAATAAATGATAACCATGACTGGCAAAGCACATCACGATCCGTGTGGAAGACCAAATTCCAGTGGTAACTACTCAGTTCAAATGCTGGAAGATCTCAGATGAGCACTTACCTATGCCCTAAGGCACAGCCTTTAATTATACAATCAAGCTCTGCACAGAAATAATGGACATGTTGGAAAAATGTGCCTTTGGTTCACAGAAGTGTCCTGGCTACAGGACTTGTTTCCCCTGCTGCACAGGTTGGAAAGGGATATTCCTCATCAATTGGAAGGGTAATTGGGGTTAAAAAAAATAGCATTACATGGTATGACAGCACCCTGCATCTCACTGCTGTCTGTGAGGAAGGAAAATCACTCATTACTTACTTCTTTTTTTTCTTTTTAATCCTTTTTTCTTGCATTCTATCTTCATTACATTCTGAAAGTTGCTCTGGCTTAGTATCTTAGAACACCTTATTTCTAATGAAAATCTTTGCAAGATGCAAAATGCGGTCACTTTAACCAAGTCGTGTGGCATCCTGAGTGGGTGGCTTCAAATTAATATGCATTTCTGACTGCACAACCACACTGCTTCCAAGAAACCCTTCCTTTGCTACCATCTCTGAGAGGCACCGCTGCACAGCAAGAGTTTTAGAAACACATGGAATCATCCAAAAATCAGCTTATGGGGGGAGAACCAACCAACCAACCAACCCACGCTAAGAAAGGACACCTGCGCTATAATGCATAAATGGTAGATCTCAGTTTCATGGCTGAAGGTCTCAATACAGATGAAATAAGTTTAAGGTAAATGGTGAATGGAGCGTGGCCACGTACAAACCTCTTACGAGATTCCTCTTTCTGGAGCCCATTATTTGACAAAAACAGACATCCTCAACTGTTAAAATATTTGACCGGAGTAAGGAACATGAGACTACTTTTATAGAGACATTACATTAAGTTGGAATTATTTCACAACATCAAAGACAAAAAAAATGATGGCAATAAAAGGAGGAGAACAAATCTCACTTGGAGAGAAACACAGTTAGAAAGCCAATATTTAGGCATGGCCAAGACAAAACAAAAACTTGGACACAAAATCAAACGAGAAATATTAAAGAGCACTGCAAGATTGGATTTGAGATGTCTGTGGTTGAGACACAGAGCAGGGCTTCCAGTGACATTTATTTAAATACCTGTCCTCTAAACAATTTTTTCTCTGTACCTCCCCCCTACTTTTATTCTTTGCTGCTCGTCTACAACAGCACCTTCTCTTCCATTAGAAAAAATCCCAAGCTCTTTTCAGACAAACAACACTTAAAACCTTGTCTCTGGAACAGAACTGGAGTGGAATGGCTTTTTTCAGCCACCCTGAATATTAACATCTTTAACCAATCCAGCTTTACGAGAACCTCATAAAAGCCCAGGCTACAGTCCATGCTTGAGACCTGAAGGATGGAAGAGAACCATTTCTCCACAAATGACAGCAAACAGAAGAAACAGCACCAGGCTGGATTCATGCAACAGCCAAAAAAACATCTGCTGCCAAGAGATAGGGTTTGTGGAAAAGAAACAGATGCTCAGCGTCTAAACAAGAATAAAGACTGAGTAATAGTAAGAGAAGACAAATAACAGAAGAGAGGTTAGCAAAAAGACATCCAGCTCTCCAAGAGCAGACTGTGCTAATGAATGGTGAAAGACCTTACAATGAAAATATGGACCAACGTGCCAAGGACCCAGAGCTTCAGTGGCCTGATACTGGCTAGAGCTGCTCTGACTTTCCCTGCACAGCCAGCCAGCCTTCTCTCTGGTGCTACTCCTCCAAAAAAATCTCTACAGCACAAAGGTAAAGCCAGCGGGTTCACCCAGACACACAGCTCAGGAAATGGCTCACCAGGACGGGCTGCAAGCACACTGCAACTATTCTCAGATTCATCGGAGCAGCGCTGCCAAAAAGATGACGGCAGGCAGTAGAAATTGGCAGAAACACAAAATACCATGCCTGTGTCTAGAAAGAACTGGAAATAAGGAGTTTGGACTTTGGAAACGTGTCTGCCAGGTTCTATGGGTTCTGTACTCAAGGCAAGCAGCTCATACCGCTGCTTCAGAGTACATACAAACATTTATGCTATGATACGAACAGAGCATTCCTATCTTTACCACTCAGTTACGCAGGGAGCATTCAGTAACGCTGGTACCAGTAAATGGAGCTTACAAAAGTGCTGTCATACCTGGGCCAAGCAGCGGGGACCGGTTCGGCTGGGCACTTGACTGGTGCGATGGCTGAGGTTCAACCATGTTTGTGTTGATAATGGTGCTAGTGGTGGTGGTATTGGTTGTGGTACTGCTCTGAATGATAGGATTATTTCTATCCCACATGTTTACAGTCTTGTTGTTGTTGTAATTTGGGTCGCCCCAAGCCGAGGTACCATCATCGATCTCCATCTTGCGGCGAATGGACGGTGGAGATGGCTCTTCCCAGCCAGTTGCCTCACAGTTCTCTTTTTGTTTGGCTGGCACTGGCCCACCAACCCACCCCGACCCCGTCTGTTTTACAGAAGCAGCTCCACCCCAGTTACTCACACTGTTGTCCTGGGGTTTATTAGCCCAATTTTGTTGGGGGCCTGGCTTTAAAGATTCCCCCCAACTTGTACCTGTATTAGCCTTGCTGTTTGTGCCATTTCCCCACCCACTGGTCCCAGACCTCGTGGAATCATTCCATCCAGACCCTGACCTATTGTCAGAATCCCACCCAGATCCATTCTTCTTCCCATCACCCAAGTGTCCAGGAACAGACGATGAATCTGTCCAATCTCCACCTCCTGAAGTCCAGCTCGGATTTGATTTCTGTCCGTCTCCCCAGTTTTGAGATTTGGGTTTCTGAGGTTCACCCCAGGTAGGTGATTTGTCCTCCTGATTTGCGGTCCCACTCCAAGTGTGGCCGCTTTTGGCAGCAGCAGCATTATTAACAGTAGTAGAGCTTGCTGACTCTCCCCACCCCCCTGGGCCATTTGGTGCTTTGTTGTTATTGTCTCCCCAACCTGTATTTGTTGGAACAGCTGCAGGTGGAGAGTTGACCCACCCAGATACTGAAGAGGTATTTGTACTGTTCATGATGGACCCATCGTTCTTCCCCCCTGAGTTTGAAGATTGAGTAGCTGCACAACCCCAGGCCTCCGTTCCATTGTCATTCTTTCGTTCAGACCTCGGGGACTCTTCAAATTCCCAGGCAGTGTTTTGCTTTACAGGGGTCTGTCCCCACCCTGTATTGGACAGGACCCTGGGGTCAAGGTCATTTCTTGGCAACTGAACTTGCCCTTGGTCTATCATCCCTTTGTCTCTCCTCCTGCCTTCTGCAGCCCCCTCCCTCCCAGTACTGCCTTCATTTTGACTTCCACCGCTGTCATTGCTTCCTTCGCTAGCTGTGGTGCCAGATGCTGCAGCTTTGGCCCAAGAGTTTATTTGTTCGTTGCCCTGCTGCATGGCAGGATTCGGACTGGTAACACTAGAGCTATCCCACCCCGTTGATCCTTTCCCATTGATGTCGCTATTGGAATGCTGGTTTGGGGGCTTGACCCATTCACCATTGACACCGTTACTGGCGTTACGGTTGGGGTGGCCCCAAGCTCCAGAATGCACACTACCAACACCGCTGTTGCCGCTGCTCCTGCCCCACGCCAGTACCCCAGGACCAGACGGAGGCCCTGAATCCCAAGCGCTCGCTCCGTTTCCTTCCTTTTGCACAGCACTGCTGGATCCATTTTGTTTAGCACTTAATGCTGAGTTCACAGTGTCTCCATTCCCCTGACTGAACCCAGAATTGCTGTTTCCTGCGGCAGGATTACCCGGGGACATCCCCCAAACTGAACTGCCCATTCCTTCACCACTGCCCCCACTGACTTGAGAAACTGATGTTCCATTAGCACCAGGAAGGCCTTGCAGGTGGGGCGGGATGATGGCCCCCATACCAACAGCCATCCCCCAGTTCGGCAGTCCATTTGTCTGCATTGCATTGATAGGGTTTGGTGAAGAGTTCATGGGGTTAGTGTTATTTGGTCCATCAGTGTTAAGGTTCTGAGGTTGTACGCTGAAAGACACATTCTGAGAAGTGGACGTTTGTGGTTCTGTGCTCTCTTGCGGCAGCAAGTTTCCCCAAGCACCTAAGGTGCCTGTCGGGTTCCCATTCTGGTTGCCCATGTTCTGACCTATGGCACTGACCGGACTGCAAATACTGGAAGGGTTGCCTGCTCCCACAGTTCCCTCATGTCCAAGTACAGGCCAGGCAGCTGGATTGGCATTAGGGTTAAGGTTAAGATTAATGCCAGCATTTGAGTTGGAAGCACCCCAGCAGTTTTGACTTCTACCATCTCCAATCATGTTGTCCATCTTGCCATCCCCACCGCTGGCAGAGCAGTGAGCTAGGCCAGAGCCAGAGCCTGCAGCCATGCCCCACACTCTGGCCGAGCTGCCGTTACCATTGGCTCCACCAGCTCCAAGGGCACTCTGGTTAGAAGTGCTTTGGACGAGTGCTCCGTTGGCGCCATTATTGCCATTAGTTTTCTTTGTATGTCCAGTGAAGTTGCCTTGGGCACTCCCTGTAGCCATGCTACTGTTCTCTGAGCCACAGTTGGAGGCAGAGTCAGTGTCTGTAGTACATTCTGAGGCAGATTCAGTCTCAGCTCCTGTGATGGAAGGCCACGCTTCCTTGTCAGTCCTGTCTATTATCACTTTATCCCAGCTGCAGTTGCCTTCACTCCTGAAAGTGGGCTGCTGTCCCCAGTGGGAATTTTCATAATGGTCTCCCAATCCACTGTGACTGAGATCTGAAAGGATCCAAAAAGGTTGAAAATGAGTGCATGGTTCAAGCACCACAAAAACACAGTTATCTACAGTTTTACATCACTAGCTATAGTGCTGTGCTCCGCACTGAGATGTAACGTGTCCTAAGATTCCAAGCGTGTCTTCTAACATGATACAGCAATTTTCTTCAGTACAACTAAATACTAAGTTCATGTTTCGACTTTTTGTGTTGTTGCTGTTTGTTTTTTTGTTGTTTTTTTTTAAATTAAAATTCTCAATTAAAATGGAATAATTCCATTCTAGAAGACACAAAAACATTTCACATTAAAATAATAATACACACCATAAATAAAGACAGCAAACACAATGACCTCCATGAAAAAAATCTAAGAAGCAAATTTGTGAAAAATGCAGAAGATGATCTGTGAAATTTATTTTTTGACTCAGTTCTCAGAGCACCCAGTAGAAAAATGTAAAACGTCCTCCTGCCATTACACACATTGCAGCCTCAACAGCATCCACACGCTCCATTCACACTTCATTTACATTCTCAGCCCTTCCTGTAAATAAAGGAACAAACACTGACAGCCATCTTCACTACACAGCATCAATTATGCATTCCAACACTGCTACTGTAACTTTTACATTATAGCAGAGAACACATAGGCGTTTCACAGTAACAGTTTGGTCAAGAAAATCAGCTCTTAAAGGATTTACAAGGGATTTAGATGTGCTTTTTAGCTGCACATATCATCCAAAGTACGTCCAAAGTCCACCCCCCACCCAATGAAACTAATGCTGCATTGCACAGATATTCAGAAGGCAGTCTTCAGAGCACGTACCTCATGTAATACACACCTCATACCTATGCTCAAACAAAGATGCTAATCAAACAATTTCTAAAGAAGCTCTTGAACCTCCAATTGCTTGCTAGGGTGCAAAATGACACTGAAAGACACAACCATTTTCACACTAAGGACTCCAGCTTAGTCCAGTTTTTGCTTTCACTTTCCATCCCAATCGCTTTGGTAGAGATTTCTCCTTTTAGTTTCTTTTAATGGGAACCTCACAGCAAGTAATTCAGTCCCATCCTGGGGATACATGGTGGAGGCCACCTGCACAACACTTCTTCCAACTGCTGATCTAAAGAAAGCAGCTATATGTTACACATTTTGGATGCCAATTATTTTTACTTGTCGTAAATCTGTACTAACACAACTTTGATTTTTACAACCAATTAATCTACATCAGATTTGAGTAAGAAGTGCAAGACTGTTCTGAGGGTAAGATGTATACAACAAACCTCCCAAATAAGCTGTTTAACAGTGGATGACTAATATGCATTGATTTGAATCACAAATATTTTGGTGTGATTAGCTCCTCCAACTGCTTCCAATTAAAGGTACTCCTCCAACACTGTGAAAAAATTATTCCAAGAATAGAAAAAGCTCTCCTGAACAGAGTCTCATTATTCACACATTTCACCTGTGGCTTTGCAAGCGAGAGCTGTGATTATTAAGCTGCCTCACGCAGGTTATCGGGATACAGAACGAACACACTAACCCAGGACAGACTGCATCTCATCTCAAAACCAACTGGAGACACTTTAAAGCAAGGATGGGAACACAGCCTCAGCTCACTGCCTGTCTGCTCACAATGCCACGACATGCCTGGTGTTCTCAGAAAGACCCAAACAACGGGCATTTACAGGACAAACTGACAAGAGAATATGAAGCAGCTGGTTAGACAATGCGGATTATTGCCCCCACATGCAATGGCCAGCAAGAAGGAAAGCATCACGTTACACCTGCACGAAACTGACCGCTTACAGAGCTGAGGAAGAAGGCAGAAAATTTACCTGATAATCTACGAAGGTGTTAAACAGAGCCCAGAATCCCAGATAAGGCAGGGAAGGAGAAAGGAAGCTTGCAAAATGACCCAAACTGGGTTGACGGGGTCAAAAATATGAGCCAAGCAGCATTCGGAGCAGAGCAGAAACAAACAAAGGAAAAAAGCTGCAGCAGCCAAGGCCAGCAGATAAGAAGTTGAGGTAACCAAGGAATCAGATAAGAGGAGTTGTGTGTGATTTTTTTTCAGCACAGTGGGTGGTGAGCTTCAGCAGTGTGTTTCTGGCATGTCAAGAAGATTTAAAAGCAGCTAGAAATACAGCTTCAATAAAAAGGTCTCACAAAAGCTGAACCTGAAGCTCCACCTGCGAGTGCAGGAGCAGAGCGGCGCTGCGCAGGGCAGGCTGAGCGAAAGGGCACAGCACCTGCAGGGCTCCCCGTGCACACGGATGGCAGGAAGAACAAGAAAACAGCTGCCAAAGATTCCTCAGCAGGGAGCAAAATGGTTCATTGCATGAGTAGTGGGATTTGGAAGAGCAGCCAGAGAAACAGACAAACCAAAGAAGGGGGAGAATTACACAGAGTAAGAGCTGACCATTCCAGAACGGTCAGGTACTGCAGCTGGGCTGAGCACACTGCTGGGGCAGCATCACACGCCTGGCTCCAGAAAGCAGCACGCATGCAGCTCAGAAACATTCCACTTTCAGAGGGCTTGCAAATCAGTATTTGCTCCTTTCCAAAAGCGTGGTTGCCAGGATTCAGATTATGGCCTCAACAACAGCAACCACTGACTAATCTGAAAGAGGTTCCTTCGATAAGGATTGTGCTAATTCCAGTGCACAGCACACAGTGCTCCCACTAACAGCAGCTCTAACGCTACCCTCCGCTGCTCGCTCCCTGCTCTGGATTCGGCAGGGATTCAGGCTGGCAGCTCTCACAAGGAACATGCTCAAAAAACAAAGTGGTCAAATCTAAATCCAGCCCTTCCCAGTGTGACGTGTGCTGCAGCAGGGTTATCAAATTAAAAACAACAACAACAAAACAATGACAGAAAAATGCACTCAGGGATGGTTCCTTGCAGATTCCAGACAGAAGCTGCTCCCAAAAGCTATGAGCAACAAGCTCTGCCTGCTTCCCTTCAGCTTCTGGGGTCTGAACCTCTGCTTTCACATCTGTTACAACACGAGGGCAGCTAGCAGAGACCTGACGACCTGCCTTAACAAACGAGCTGCAGGAGCTGCTGGGAAGTTACAGCTTTCTTCCAGCCCCAGACAGGCAACATTTTCCAGAGACAGCAGCTTCACAGCCTCCCAAAAGGTACTGCAGCAATTGCTTTTAACGCCGAGCGCTGCTATAAAAACAGTAAGAAAGGGACAGATTAAAAACCCACAAAATAAACAGCAAGTTGCAAGAGCTGTTACTTTGCTGCTAAACAAAGATAACGCACTTCCAGCACAGAACAAGCTCCCAAAAAAGTGTTCTTATACAAGGCTTCCAGAAGCAAACATCCAAAGGACGTTTTTCCATTTTCTCTAACCTAAAAGCAGTTCAATCCTACAAAGCAAATAACCCGAGAGCAGCAAAGTTACACTTAGCCCACAAGGATTTTACACCAACAGGAAAAATAATGAAAGGAAAATATTTTTATACGATTAAATCTTGGGGTAACTTTTTTGTTGTTTGTTCGGGGTTTCCTTTGAACACAAAAATCTCCTCTGACTCTCTAGGAAACCACGTCTCCACAAAAACTGCCATGGCTTTATTTTATAAGCTGTTAAGGCTGGAATGGGAAAACCAATAAAACGCCAGTACTTAAAAAGCAGTTCCTCTTTACTCCTGCAAAGCTCTGAAGTAAAGCACCCAGCCTGCCAGGAGCATCACCATCCTTCCTGGGAGCTGCCATTGCGAGCAGAGCAGTAGGAGATGGGAAGCACACACTTCATGTCAGCACTGCTGCTGCACCGCCAGGTCCAACCCCTGTTACCACCAATACTTTGTGCCTGGAAATCTTCACTACACGTCCTTTGTGAAATACAGTTCTCTTGGCTAACAAAACCTCCAGTAATCAGGAAAGAAAACTAACATAACGCTGAGATTAACAGCACTTCTTGTTAATTAAAAACTGAAACAACAACAAAATACGCAAAACACAACCAAAACTCACAACAAATTGAGTCAAACTCCTGGCATGCTGGCTACCAGAAAATCGCACGGCTATTTCTATTAATATATATATTAATAGAATATATATTGGTAGCACAATATTAGAATAGCATTGGTAGCACAAATTAATAGAATATTCTATATTGGTAGCACAGGGCTACCAGTAAGCAGCAGGTGACTGAGTTTTGTTTTTGCAATGTAACAGGGCAGGAAGAGATCCCTGCTATTAAGCACTGCAGCTGGCTGGGTTTCACACACTGCAGTTCAGAAAATGTTTCTCCTTATGTTAACATAAACACAATAACTCCAAAATCAGGTAACTGCTTACATAGTCTGCAAATGTAAAGTGCGAGCAGAGCAAAAGGTGAGGAGCTGTTGCATGCATTTCTCTAAAAGCAAAGTGCACGGCTTGCAGGAAGGCAAACACTTTTATCTGAAAACACTGTTTGCAATCATATTCCTCGCTGCTGTTTTGTTGCTGTTTTTAGCTCTATCTTTATAACTTCCATCGCAGTAATTACTTTGAACAACACGCAACACAATTACACACCTTCAACTATAATTTAACATTCAGCTGATTTATGAACCGAAGTAAGAGGGAGGTGCAAAATGGCACCACCTCGGATAAATTTTTAATGAGAATCTTATTAATAAGAACAGATTTGATTTAAAGCAGAACAAACAAAACAGATTCCCCTCTTCTTACTCCTGGCTGTATTTCTCAATGCACGTTAGTCAGCACAATAGCCCTGGGTTCACAGGCTCCCGGTTACCTGCCACATCCAGCCCTGCCATTCCCTGCCCGGGGCTGAGGGCAGATCTGGAAGCTGTCCTCTACCTGACGCACCTTGCTGTCCCCTAAATGCCAACAAGCTGAACTCCTGAGACCCATACATCATGTGTTAAGGCAGACAAAAGATGGAAGCACCAAACACAACAGCTTGACTTTAAAACGAAGCCCAGCTACGCACACAAGTGGGAAAGCCCGACAGCACGTTCCAATTCTCTGCACT